CCCTCCCCTCCCACTTCCCTCCCTTCGCCCCAACCCAAACGGGGGCTGACGGGCCAATACAAAAAGTCACTCCACTGGCGCAGGGCGGCAGATGACGGCTCTGTGGCTGGACTGTGCCGTGGCCATGGTGACGATATCACCACATGGAGCTGGGGCTAGTCGACGGCCAACACTACCCGGCCCCAGCTAGTAATATCAAACTGCAGCCATGTTACGGGGCCCGGTCTAGTCCCGAACTCTCGTGTCCTGCTTGCCGGTGAGTTTTTTTTGTCGCGACGCGGCTTGGCTCCCTCAGCTGTGTGATATTCCATTCCTCTGTTTGCTGCTTGCTTGCTTACTTGCTTGCTTCCTTCTGTTGTGTGCTGTGCCACTCGCCGGCTGTAGTGTGCGGGTTTTAACCTCACCCGTCTCCTTTTTTTATACACACACACACACACACACATCATTCCTTCCCACTTCCCAAAAAAGCAATCCCATGTTTCCAACATCCCAAAGGACAAGCAAGCCAAGTGCCCTTCAAAACCCACGCTAGCCGCCCCGCCCGCCCGTCGCATTACTACAGCGGGCGTCACAGAGGTAGCATTGGGGGCTGTATGTACGGCACATGGGAGGGTCACCTCAGGCCGCGCAGGTGGGTGGCGGGTTGTGCTCACAAGTGTGGGAGGCACGGCACTATCGTTGCGCCGCCTGGCCGCCTTTCGCCTTTCCTGGCGTCGATTGGAATGGGTAGTGGGAGAGAGCGAGCGTCTGGCGCGGGGGGAAGAAGAAGAAGAAGAAGCGAGAGAGCAGTGCTGCGGCGCAGTCCCACCACCCCTCCGGCATATCAGCTATTGATTCTTAATTCCACTTGCCATGTCCATGACTCCCGAGGTGCGTGAGAGAAGATATGCGAGACAGCGAAGCTAGCATCTCGGATCCAGCACAACACCCACCATACCATGGCCGCCACCACCACCGCCGCCGCGGAACCATGGGCTTGACATGGCACGGTTCCGTATGGGTGGCTTACTGTGCCTCCTCGGGTCTAAACACCGCCAGACAAAAAGCCCGACTCAGCCGGCGTCGGTCTGGCTGGCTGTATGTGCAGAAGCACAAGCGGCGCTTATCCATGTCGCCCCGGTCATATTCCCGGTAGTCTGAGGGGGGTGGCGCCACCGGGAAGGACAACGGCAAATGCAAAGAAGAAGACAAAGGTCAATATGGACTAGCTGAAGCTCGCTTGAAACTCGGGGGTGTGCATATGTTGCCCATCTCGATGAGGGAGGCTATTAACCTGGGGCTCCCCTTTTGGCACCATATGGGCCTAGTACTGATTGTCAGCGTTGACTAGTGTCGACTCTCTACCGCCCACCTACTCAGCCGGAAGGAAACATGCATTGCTGGATCGAAAGCCTAAATCGCCGCCCGCCCCGTCAGGCCATATGGGATGTCGGGGCAAGCTATCCGATCGATGGCGGCGACTAACTAGCGTCAAGTCTTCCGCAGCCATGGGTCGGTCTCCCGCCGCGGTGGCATGTCTGCCCACCCCCACCCATGATGACGATGGTGTACAGTGCTTCATACCAAACGGCGACGGGCACATGCTTCTTCCCCCCGTACGCTTGCTGGTCCTGGAACTGCTTGGCACATCTGCGTTGCGCACCTGTGTTTCCCCATCCTCGACCTCGCAGGCGCGGAGACGGTGGTGTGATTTCTTCCCGTCTTGTCTTTTTTTTTTTCTTTTTCTTTTTTTTGTTCTCCATCATCTAGTCATAGGACAGGTCAGGGCGCGCACGAATCACCTGACGAGTCTTCTCATCCGAAATCCCGCCCGTCCTCTGGACATGGTCTCCCGGGATTTCGACAAAAGGGAAGTTTGGGGGGAAGGATGAGGAGGCAGGTTGGCAAGGGCGGCGGCTGTCTGCACGACCTGGGGCCACTTTTCTTGCTTCCACCGTGAGGGGAAGCAAAGTGATGGCCTGGCCGGCGCGCTGCCGTCTACATCCCGCAGCTGAAAGGAAGGAATCACCTCCCGAGGTCCGGACCCGGATGCTTGCTTCGCCACACGGGAGGCCGCAGGAGGGGGGGCGACTGAGAATAGCCCGAAGCGTGGCCTTCTGCGTATGTACACACGTTTGATGTTTATACACACAGGGGCCACAGATAATAAACAGGAAATGACATGTCAGATCTCAACGGGATGCCATCTATATACACATTCCGTGTGCAACCGGCCATCGCCCACCAGGGCTAGACCCGAGAGCAAGGTCAGCGAATAAGCCGTGTCACCAGCCTGGAGAGTTGCCCGGGCAGGGATCGGACGCCGGGGCGTGGAGGAGCCCCAGGAGGAGAGCCGTTTTTGTTTCTCGGCACCCGGCCTGGCCCCCTCCACATTCCCTCCCCTCGAACCCCCTCCCACCGTCAGCGCCGGGGGCGGCTAGCGACAGCGTGGACGCGTTGTAGAGTTTGCCTCTCCCCGTGTGCCCCTGCTCTTTCTGGGATGGACTCGCAGGATGTCGGGTCTCACGGGCGCGCGAACATGAGAGAAAAGCCAGAGGCAAGCAGGTGGCAGCAACACAGGGCACAGGTCCGGGCGACATGGAGCTATCGTCTGCGTGTTCCCGCTCGCCCGGCCTCTCTTGGCCGCTTCGGGTCTGCTGAGGTAGAGAATAGAGGATATGCCGGGACTGATGTTTCATCTCGCGCGCGCGCGCTCTGAAGGGTTTGCAGAAGCAAGCAAAAATGAGACGGAATTTCCCGACCATACGCACGCTTCATGTGCGAGGCCCGCCTCTTTGCCCAATGTTGTAAGCCGCGACTTGCACACAGCAGAGCCGAGGGGAACCTGGCACAGCTTTTGTTGCCAGCACGCCTGTTTCCAAGGTGGCAATGGTGGGCTGTAGGACACCGGGAATCTTGGCCATAAACGGGAGATACAATAATCTGGGCGTGGCATGTACACCGAAAGGCACGCCGTCGCACCAAGGTGGCCCGTCTGCCGTCACTCTCATATCCATGACCGCCGCTTGCCCGGCCCCCCCCTTTTTTTTTTTGTGATGGCACTTTTGACGTGCCGCAAAACGGGTGCCCCTCCTGTGACGCAACACGTACACGGGGCCGGTAAGACGACGCCTGTCTGCGGGCTCTCTTCCTCGCCCTTGCTTGGCTCGGGGCCTGGAGTCTGAAAATAGGAAAGAAAAAAAAAACTACAAGGAGCTCAGCTAATGAATGGTTGGGCAGAGGCCTCGCAGGTCGCCACCACCAAGTAGATCGGGCGAGCCCCCGATAGCCGCCCGTGTGCTCCCCAACGGGCGATCAAGTTGCCCAATCATGCCCGTCCCCAGCAAGACATTTTCCGCCTGCCTCGCGGCGCCACTTGGGCATCGTGGCCGCGGCGGCTGAGTTGACTCCCTCCCGGTAGGCTGACAGCACACACTCCTCCATTATCAGAGACACACATACGCGCCCTTACTCTCATCGTCCCCGGGAAGGAGGTTGTCCAACGGCTGCTTGCATGGGTCGAGAGCTCCTCTCAAAAAAAAAGGGGTGGCGGGCTATCGTGGAGGAGCACCAACGGCCATCTCCGTGCGTCACGTTGTTGGACCGCCTGGCGTCGTGGGCTCTATACGCCACGGAACTTCCAAGTGGCAAGTCGACCAGCCCCGGAAATCTACAAGTCGTGTCACCTCTGGAAGACGGTAGTGCTACCCTCAACTCGCTCCCCCCTCCCTTCCCCTGTAGTGGCCCGCGGCAGCCTTGACCGAGTCGCGAAAGCGCGTGAGCGAAAGCGGCCAAGTCGGGCGGGATCTGAGGATACACGAGAGGCAAACAGGGAGGGTAGAACGAGCAAGGCTGTTCTTGGTCAAGAGCGGCACAGTCCTACGGGGGGAGGGATCGGATTCTCTGCAGATTCCGCGGCGCAACAGGCTTCTTCTTTTCCGTTCATGAGCCCATTAGGGCACTACCTAAAATCCCGATATCTAGTTGTGACCACACGGTGGAGGAAGCAAGGGCGAAAGAAGCGCTATCGCGGCCGCGGACGTGGAGGCCGCCCCCAACTTGCTGACGTCTCTCCCTGAGCGGCTGGGTGTAAGAAGGAGCAGTAAACAGAGGAGGCCCCCCCCTCCGCGGGGTGAGCGGTGGCGAGCCCTTGTCTAGCCCCATGTGCTGCGTGGGCAGCCTCTTGTCTTGGACACGCCCCATGCGTCAGTGATGCGGCGAAGGCTTTCACAGCAGCAACAAGTCCCCTCCCTCCTCGCCGCGACCGAGAGACAACGGGCAGGGCAGGAATCCAGCAGCACCGCCTCGCTGTCGTGGCGGGCGACCGAAAGAGCGTCGTCACTGTTCTAGGCTCACGAAAGGAAAAGGGGGTGTTGTGGCATGAGCAAAGTGAACCGCCGTCAAGCGGGCCTGATCTAGAAGCTTCGCGGCCACCGCGACCCAGACACCAAGCCAAGAAGGGGGGGACACGTAATATTGCTTGCTGCTATTTTTCTTTTTCTCTTTCCCTCTCTGTTCCACCGGGCACGAGCCCGTGTTCCAGCCCTTTGGACGACGACCACCCCCCTCCCCTCCCCTTGTGGACAAACCAGACCCGGACAAGAGACAAGGTTCCGGATCAGTGAGTGCCATGGGCCAAGACCGCCGGACTGCGGAAGCGTCCCACACGAACGAAACCGAAAAAAAAAACGAAAGGCCTGGTCGGCCGCCACAGACGCACCGCACCGCGCGCGCGCCCCCTTGCTAGGTCGCTCTGCTCGGCCGCCTCTCCTCGACCCCCATACATCTCCATATGCGCGGCAGCGTACACGGAAATAACCAGGCCGTGACAAAGATAGTAGACTCCCACCCGGCCTTCTATTCCTGGTCTCTTGGTCCTTGACTCTCCCGCACACGGACGGCCCTCTGGAATGCGTAAATGTCTCGCGGATTACTCGCCATGACGGAGCGCAAATCCAGTCCCTCACACACAAGGCGGCGCAGCTGAGACACCCATCTGATGGCAGGTCAGCAACAGAGACATGCCTGCTGGGGAGGAGGAGGAGGAGGAGGAGGAGGAGGAGGAGGAGGAGGAGGAGGAGGAGGAGGAGGAGGAGGAGGAGGAGGAGTAGGAGAAGGGGTGTAGATGCATCCTAGATTCATTCCATGGGCGCGTGGCCCAAAGCACTCCCCCCAATATTAGACGCGACTCAGTCCTCGAAGCATGGCCGCCAAGACGTTAGGTCAAACACACGACGGATCACACAGGGCCGGGCGGCTGTGGCGGCCAGCACACATCCTTCACGGGGATGCCAGAGCGGCCCTGACCTGGCATGTTTGACGTGTTTGGTTTATTTGCGTGGGCCAATGTCCGCTAGTCACGACCTTGCTGCATCGGACGGTGCTAGAGAGGCAAGAGAAAGGGAACATCCCGATATACCTACAGGGCCCACCAACATGGGATGATATTGCCTGCTCAGCCACCCTGGCTGTCGTGGCGTATCATCCTTCTCCATCCTTCTCCATCCTGCAGACTAAAGGGCAAGCGACAAGCACACGATGATCCAATCACGATGATCCAACTCCAACATTGCATTGTCACTGGGGCAGAAGCATAATCTGACTGCGTGCGACGCCGTACCTCGCCCGCACCCCCGCCCGCTGAACACATCTGGCTACGCTCGGCCAACCTATCGCCGTCCGCCGGCCGAGTGAATCTTTTGGGCAAAAAAGGGGTGCTTGAGCGCGTCGGCCGGAAGGATCCGCTTGTCGGGGTTGACATTGAGGCAGCGGTCCAGGAGGTCGTGGAATAGATTCAACTCCCTGGACTCTGCCTCGGTCATGCCGGCAGACGCGGCCTGCAGGCGGGCCCTCAAATCCCGCGTCGGCTTGATGGCGGCCAGGGTCCGGACGGTGGACTATCGAGATGAGGAGTTAGCAAGGCAGAAGGCCAGTGCGAGTATTGTTGGCTATTTGGAGAGCAGCTGCATGGGGAGGGGTGTCTGCAGTGGTATGGGGAAGCGAAACCCGCGGCTGTTGGGACGACTGGTCGGCTTCCATAGAGCCAGGCGGGGAAGGCCTCACGTAAGAGATAGGAAGGGTAGGCCGAGGGAGGGGCGGTTGAGGAAATCCGGGGATGTGCCTCCACCAGCTTGGGGGCGGCGCATGTGCCAGCCTAGCCGCCATCATGGGTCGTCCAAGAGGGGGTGCAGTGACGCCATGTGACATTTGCCGCACGAAACAACCCGATCGACCACGGCCCACAGGCAACGAGGCCATCACCATGCCTGCCGGGGTCGGGATCCTGGCCGCGACCCAAGGGAGCGGCCCATCCAACTCAAGAGTAAGCCAACAACCTCGGACCCAGGCCGCCGAAAGCGAAGACGTGAGGCCAGGGCTTGGTTTTGGGTCCATGGGGTAGGGTAGACTGGGGCCCCTGCCTATCCACTGCGTGGGTGGCCTGGCGCTTACCGCGCGGCTCCAAAAAAAAAAACCACGAACCAGATGTGGGTAAAAATAGATTTCCGCTTTGATTTGCCGACAGAACCAAGAATTTGTCGAGTGTACGTACGGGTAGGGAAAAGGGGACCAGGGAAAAGGGACCATCAAGCGACAACAAACGTACCTTGCCCAGGACCTTGTCCCGCTCAAAGCTCCTAAAGTTGCCGAGCTCGTCAAAGTGCATGTGCCAGAGCTCGCCGCGCTGGTACAGCTTCCGGCTCATCTTGCCGCGCACCTCCATGATGGCGCGCAGCATCTGGTTGTTGCTGTCGCCCGTGAACAGGATCTTGCCCGTGTACATCTCGTACAGCGTGCAGCCGATGGACCACATGTCGGCCGAGTAGTCGTAGGGTATGCCCAGGATGATCTCGGGCGCGCGGTAGAATCGGCTGACCAGATAGGGCGTGATCTCGTTGTGCGCTGTTGCCGCGTCCGACCTGTCGATGGCCGTGCCCAGGTCGCAGATCTTGAGCATGCTGCGTTGCTCGTTGACCTGTTTCAAGGGTATATACTATCAGCAAAGCTCGCTCGCACGTATGCGTCTAAACCGGACTTACCAGGATGTTGTCAGGCTTCAGGTCGGCGTGGATGATGCTGCACTTGCGCATGTGCCCCAGCGCGACAAAGATCTGGTAGGCGTACACGCGCACGCCCCTTAGGTTGATTCCCACGTTGTTTCCAAACTTCTTGAGCACCTCGCGCAGGTTGAGCGACAGGCTCTCAAACGTCATGCATAGATGGCCCTTGTACTCGAACGCGCGCTCGAACTTGACAATGTGCTTGCGATCCTCCGGGTCCGCCTCGTTGAGCTTCTGCAGGATGGCAATCTCGGTGAAGCCGCCCTTGCGCAGCGCGTCGTTGTTGCGCATGATCTTGATGGCCACCAGCTTCTTCGTCGTCGTGTCCAAGGCCCGCGCCACCCCGGAGAACATGCCGCGTCCCAGAGTCGACTGGAGCTGGTAACGCCCGTCGAGCATCTCACCAGGCCGGATCTTGTAGTATCCATCCTTGTCGTCGCCTTCGAGGATGCCGCCGCCGTTGGCGAGCTGTGGCGCCGCCTCCTCTTCGGCGGCGCTTGCCTTCTTGGGTGGAACATACCTCTCGACCGCATCGTTGAACATGTCAAAGTCGTCGCCGCCCTCGTCCTCGTCCTCGTCCGCATTGACCTGCTCGTCCTGGGCCTGCGCATCCGCGTCGGGAGCCGATCTGAGCTGGGCATCAGGGCCTTCTCCGTGAAGACCAACATTTCCATGTCGCATCTCATCACGGCGCCCGTCCTCCTGCATATCCACGGTGGGGTCATAGTCAGCTGCAGACGGACCGTCCTCCTCGGATTTGGCCTTGCCATGCGTGTTCATGAGGTCCTGGTCCGTCATGTGCTCGAGGTCGTCAGGCGTGCCGGCGTCATGACCAGGGGCCGGAGATGCAGTGGGTGAGCCAACACCTGTTCCGGTTAGCCGTTGTGACCAGCGAGGGTGATTGAAGCGATCTCGCTTACCGGAGAGAGGTGTGCCAACCTCGGTCCTGAGCGGCGTGCTGACGTGGGTCGATCCGGGCGTGCTCGAGGCCGCTTTCTCGGTCTGCAGAGCAAGAAGCTGCGGTTGCATCGGGGTCGAGCCCCGAGATTTGCGCAGAAGTTCCTCGCGCCTACGTCGTCGACGCTCGATCTCGGCTTCTTCGTCGAACGCCTGCTCCGGCTCCCAGTTGACCAACCTGTCTTGCTCTGCTTTGGCTTCTTTGCTGCAGTTGGGTCGACTGTTAGCGAGCGCACCGCCACAAGACATGGGGCGGGAAACGTACTCGGCGGTGCTCTCTGATGGCCTGCTGCCGTGCTTATCCGCAGAACCTTGACCAGATTTAGCCTCGACCTTTTGGAAGTGACTGCGGCCAGTCACAGGGGCCCGCTTGGACATGGTATCATCCCGTGACTGTCTGTCATAGTGGGCACTATACTTGTGAGACTCAGCCTGATCCCCGCCATTCTGACGTCGCTGATCGCGATGGCCGTCCTCCCGGCGCCAGGAGCCCCTGTCGTGCTGTCCGTGCTGTCCGTGCTGTCCGTGCTGTCCTCTATCGCCACGCGACGGTCGGTAGGGCGATCTGCTGCGGTTGCGGGCGCGTTTGCTGTCGGGGTACCTGTCGTTGTCGCGATCGTCGTAGCCGAAGTCGCGGTCGCCGTGGGCATCGGGGCGGTCTAGATCCTGGTAGCCGCGGCCGCGAGGCTGGCGGCGCGAGGATCCCGAGTCTTCGTAATGGCGGGACCGCCGCGGGTCGCGGTCGAAGCCGTTCCTCGAATCGCCATGGTTGCGGTCGCGGTCATTACGTGCCCGTTTGGAGCCGCGCGGGGAGCCGGATCGGTGGGCGTGGTCGGGCGAGCGCGAGGGAGGGCCGCGGTTTCTGTTGGAACGGTCAACACCGCCTCCCTCACGATGTGGCAAAGTAGTTGTCTTCACATGACGACCTCCGTTATCGGCGATCTCGCCTTCATCGGAGCTGAATGAGGAAACCATGGTGTTGCCGTTTGATATCGTCTGTGTCGCAACGGCAGGTCCTGGAGCTTTGCAGCTCGATGTCCCGTGGGTTAGAGGGTATACTGAGGAATCACTGGCGTATGGGTGAAGACGGATACGATGGATGCGAATCGATCGAACCTTGGGTCGGGACTCAGGTCATGTCGTTGTGCGCCACGACGGGATGCGGTCGCGCCGTTTCAATCTCCAAGCAGGCTCAGAAGGGGCAGCTTATCGATTCGCGAGAGATAAGCCCGACGCCGTGGGGTGTGGCAGGCTCGGACAGCGATATCAAATGCGCGAAAGCGATGGTGGAGGTGAGCAAACAGCACCACGTGAATGTGACTTTTGGAGCCATGAAATCATCAACCTGCTCTTTCGCGAGTCACAGCCTCTCTCTAGCGGATGGAGCTTTGTGTGGGTCTAGACACCAGATCCGCGCTGGTGATTGGCCAAACTGCGGACAAGGCTGGCGGTTGGTGGAGGGGCATTAGCGCTGCGCTGCGGCCGACCCTTAAACTCGTGTCAGCGCCACGCGTGCAAGGCCTCGATTCTTTTAGTTTAGCTGGGGATAACTCGTCGCCAACCTCTGATCTCTCGACCTCGGATCTTTTAACCGCATCGCAAACACAGGAACAATGGGTGGCGCAAACCGTGAAGGTCAGTGTCTTGGATTCCTGGGCCATGTCGCCGCCGCCCCTCGCTGGCACCGTAGACCGACATTTCCGCTCCGCGTGCCCCGCAAGCCGCTGACTGACGTGGTCCTCTTTTTTCTCTCCAGGTGGAAAGGTGAAGCCTCTCAAGGCTCCCAAGAAGGGCAACAAGGACCTCGACGAAGACGACAAGGCCTTCCTCGAGAAGAAGCGCGCCGGTTAGCCCCCCCGACGTGCATGCCGATTACCGCCCTGATCGTGTCCGCTGACTGCTCGCCTGGCGGCACTGCCAAACAGAGGAGAAGGCCAAGAAGGAGATGGCCGACAAGGCCAAGGGCAAGGGCCCGCTGAACACGGGCACCCAGGGCATCAAGAAGAGCGGCAAGAAATAAGCCCTGAACGAGAAGCTGGCTTGGGGTCTCGGCGGTTGAGAGATGGGATTTCTTGCTATAGCATACACAGCGACGGAGTTGCCCGGACGGCATCTAATGACAGTTGGAAGGGTCACCATCGGCTAGATCATTGCCGTCTCGCATTCTGGCCCTACGTGCTCAGGTGCTTTTGCTATCCAATGCACAAGCACCGCCGACCATGTAAATAGAAGTGCATGATGAGGGCATGGCTGGAGACAGCCAGCAACTTGACAATGCACTGGTCGGCGGTGACGGTTAGCTTTTGCTCAGGTTGAGAATAGCAGTCCAGCTAGAGGGTTAGGGTCCCGGGCTGAGAATCCCAGCAAAAATACCAATGCTGGCCCCGTATAAACCACCTCGGCACCCAACAAAGAGCAAGCCATGTGAAACAAGGCCATCAATGCAGTAAGGGGTATTACATGTGATTTTCTGGCTCGTATTCCGGCGGCGGCATCGAGTTTCGAACAAGACATAGATAGTCCGGGTGATTTTTGCTCTTTGTTTACTCCTTGTTTACTCCTTGACCACCACCACCTCACCCCCCCATAATGACCGCCCACGCGGACCAGCCCGGCGTTCGCCGCCGCCGCCCCTCATCCCCCGGCCCCTCTCCGGCTGGCGTCGCCAAGGCGGCCTCACCCGCGCTCCTGATCCTCTGGGACGAGCTCGAGGAGTGGCGGCGCGACAACGCCTACATCCTGGGCGGCTACCGGCGCACCAGCAACAGCTACCGCGCCTGCGCCGCCAGCCTGGCCTACCTGCACAACGAGTCGGTCAACATCTGGTCGCACCTGCTGGGCGCCGTCGCGTTCTCGGCCGCGGGGCTCTGGCTGCTGCGGCGGGCTTCCGCCCCGGCCGTCGTCGTCGCCGCGGCCCACGCCGCCGCGACCGCCGCCGACGGGGCCGACGTGCTCGCCTTTGCGTGCTTCTTCGCCGGCGCCTTCCTGTGCCTCGGCATGAGCGCCACGTTCCACGCCGTCATCAACCACTCGCCCGGCGTGGCCAAGTGGGGCAACAAGCTCGACTACTCGGGCATCGTCTGCCTCATCGTCGGGAGCTACGTGCCCGCGCTGTACTACGGCTTCCGCTGCGACCCGGGCCTGATGGGGATATATCTGGCTGCTGTGAGTTTTCCCTCTCTTTCTGGGTCTGATTTTCACACACACACACACACACACACACACACACACACACGGATGGCCACAATACTAACAACCCACACACCCACCCTCAGATCTCGACCCTCGGGCTCGGCTGCATGGTCGTGTCGTGGGTGGATCACTTCCGCACGCCAGCCTGGCGCACGACGCGCGCCCTCATGTTCGTCGGGCTCGGCGTCTCGGGCGTCGTCCCCATCGTGCACGCCGTGACGGTCGACGGGTTTGCCGCCTTGGACGCGCGCATGGGCCTGCGCTGGGTGCTGCTCCAGGGCGGCCTCTACATATTTGGCGCCTTCCTCTACGCCGCCCGCTGGCCCGAGCGCGCGTTCCCGGGCCGCTTCGACATCTGGGGCAGCTCGCACCAGCTGTTCCACGTCTTTGTGCTGCTTGCTGCTGCCTCGCACCTGTACGGCATGGCCATTGCGTTCAACTACCGCCACGGCGTGGGGGCGAGCCAGTGCTGAGTGTGGATGAAGGGCGGGAGGGATGGTTCTTGTCTTGTCTTGGGCTGTATAGATTCGCTTGCTTTTATCACACCTGGTGCCGCTAGAGGCCCGTAAAAGGAGGTTAGACTCGGGATTAATAGAACAAAGACTACGCAGCGACTTGTCCTTCCACATGTGCATCACTCAAGCCCCAGGTCCATGACGCGCAGCAAGCCCGACCCCATGGCCGCCGCCGCCCACCAGCCGACGTCGAGGTTGGGGTTCCAGGCGATGGTAACGACGCGGGTCTCGGGCTCGTGCAGGATGATGCCCTTGATGGGGTTGTGGTCCTCCGGGTAGTCGTCCTCCTCGTTGCGCTCCACCAGGTCGGCCGAGCCCACCTGGGCGTCCCGGGCTGCGGCGGCGGCGGCGGCTGCGGCCACGGCGCCGTGCCTCTTGGCGACGCGCTTGGCCTCCTGCATCTTGGTCTTCTCGCGCGCCTTCTTCATCATGCCGCGCGAGTAGTCGTTGCGCGGATTGTCGTTGACCTCGGGCTTGAAGCCGTGCAGGAACCGGACCGCGCCGCGGATCTTGGGCGTCGTCTCCTCAGCGGCGGCGGCGGTTTTGTTGCCCCCCTCCTCCTCGACCCGCCGGTACTCGTGCTGAAACAACTTCATCTTGTACAGCTTCTCGTTGCGCATATAAAACACCTTGTGGAACGTGTTGAAGGACCACAGCGACCCGTCGGCGCACCCGACGAGCGTGTACGGGTGGCCGGCGCCCGTGGCGAGGCTGACGGGCTGGCTGAAGCCCTGGAACACGGTGCGGGGCTGCGACGGGTAGCGCGCGCCCAGGAAGGCGACCGTGGTGGAGCCCGGGGTCGAGTTGGCGTAGAGGCAGACGAAGCCGCGCAGGTGCTCGCTCCAGCAGAGCGTGTTGGGCTGCAGGTTGGCGCTGGGCGCCGTGTGCGCCGCCGTCTGCACCGCCGGGTCCGTGAAGTCGGTCAGCGTCGGGCAGCCGCCCAGGGGCACCGACGCCACCAGGTACGGCTGCGACGGGTAGCCCGACCGGACCTCGACCACCTCGACGTGGTGCACCGTCTGCCGCTGGAGCAGCATGCGCGGGTGTATGGACCAGATGGAGACGGTGCCGTCCTTGCACCCGAGCGCCATGTGGTTGGCGTCCATCCAGGTGAAGCATGTGGCTGTGATTCCCGGCTCCTCTTCTGCAGGGTCGAGCGTGGCCATTGGCTTCTGGATCAAGTCTGTGTCCGGGGTGTTGGGTGTGTTAGGTATGCGACCCATGGGCCGGACTGCTAGAGTAACAACTTACCAAGCTCCGTCTCGCCGTCCTTGGCAGGCTCTCTTGCCTCGACGACGTAAACCTTGCCGTCGCAGAGGACGGCCATGAGCCCAAGAAACCCCTTGAACTCGGCACTTGCAGCGATGGGACACCATTCCATGCGTGTCGGCCGGCCCCAGTTGAAGCAGAGCGCCGACGCTCGTCGCGGCGGCTTCCTGGAGGGTCTGCGGATGCCCTTCTCGTCCAGCTCCGACGTGAAACTCCACAGCTGGACGCTGCCAGACGTCATGCTGTTGTCCTTGGGCAGGTCCTTCTCGGACCAGTAAAAGGCATGGTCCGCAAACGGCGCCACGACGAGGGCGAGGATCTGGTCCGCGTCGGCCTCGCGCCGCGGCGCCCAGCCCATGGCCAGGGGGATGCCTCCGACGTCGACGAGCCAGCCGGCGGGCTGCTGCTGCTGCTGCTGCTGCTGCTGCGCGGGCGACTCCTCGTCGGTCGGCTCCCACGTCTCGGAGAGCGATATGGCCTCTCCCTGGGGGATCACCACCTGCCTCTGGCTGTCGTGCGGCCCGAGGAAGGTGATGAGGTCCCCGTCGGGCGACCGCGGCAGCAGCAGCAGCATCTTCCTCCTCCGCTTGGCGGGCGCCGGGGGGGCGGCCTTTTGCCTCGCGGCCGGGTCGTCCAGGACCGCCCTGTACCAGTCGGCAAAGGCGCGGCGCTGGTCGGCCTCGAAGGCGGGCGGCAGCCACTGACTGGGGAGCACGCAGTCCGGGTCGGCCGGGCCGGGCGGGCGGCCGCGGGCGGGCAGGACAAAGTTTGCAAAGTGGTGGCGCAGGTCGTCGGCGACGGCGACGGCGCGCGGGTCCGGGCCGAACATGGTGGCCAGCAGCAGGCCGAAGCGGTCGTGGCGCTGCAGGGTGCCGGCGTAGACGCGCAGGCTCTTGTTGACGTTGTCGGCCGAGTAGCGCCACACCTCGCCGTCCGTCTCGGGCAGGCCCCGGCGCTTGGCCGAGGGGAGCCCGCGCGCGCTGGTGCGGTGCGCCGCCTGCGTGCGCCGCTTGGTCAGGCCCTTCCACTCGCCCCGTGGCTTGCGCTCGAGGGGGCCGGTTGTGGTGGGCTTGGGCTCGGGCTCGAGCTCGGGCTCGGGGTCCGAGGCTGCTTCGTAGTGCTGCTGGCGCGGTGGCAGGCCGCCCGATCTCCGGCCGCCTCCTCCGGCTGCGCGGCCGCCGCGTCCCCTGGCCCTGGTCCTGGCTCTCCCCCGGCCCGCTGTTGCGCCGCCTCTGGAACCGCGGGCTGGTGCCTGGAACTCGGCCGCATCGCTGTCTTCGTCGTGGACGGACGCGTCCGAGCTGGGATCATCCTCTTGGTCGGCGGCTTCGTCCTCGGGCGCGTCAAAGTCTCCATCACCATCGTCCTGCGACTTTCTTCGACCCCGCGCGCGACTGGATGACGTAGCCGCCTGGACCTGTTCGTCATCGGACAGGCCGTAATTAATGGCCTTGAAGCCTGAGGATTTTTGTCTGGTTGAGCGGCGCGTCTTCATTGTGGGTGTTTGGTTTTTGCTGGTGAAGCTTGAGGAGGACTCAATCTTGAGAGGGCAACCCGTGGAGCGCCCAAATCCAGTGAATTCAGCGCTGTCCCACCGAGTTTTACCGAGCGCACTGCCATTGTAATGCTGACCACTGACTCCCGAATAGCTCCATCCATGACCAAGACCACGACCAAATTGATTGCCAAATCAAGCTAACTTCGACCATTGGTCATTGCCACGACACGATTAGATGTTTCCCACCCCACGCGTGACTGCCATTCGACTGCCGGTGAATCTTGTTCTGCCAACACCGCTCCTTGACTGGCGTGGTTTCGTCTTACACGCACTCGGCAACGACAGAATCCCACAATGAATGCCCTTACTTGCATTTTTTATCGATTGCCCAATGCCAACTTGCCCGAGGCGGCAGAGTTTTGTCGGGATTATCGACGTCCAGTCACGGTATTCGCCTCGACTTCGTTTACTGCCCCGACTCCCATTCCCTTATATGCCAGTCAGATCAGTTTATATATAGGAAACACCGAGCCCCATCGACTCTCGTTTCCATCCTTTTGTAAAATCCAGAACCAGTCTATGAGGATCGCCTTGATACCTGATCTCAGACTTCCTCCATGCCACTCCTATCGACAAAAGGGCTCTTCGCCCTGCTAGCCGCGTGTGCGGTTGGCGGCACCTCGGCACACATGATAATGCGAAAGCCTGTACCCTATAACCACCACGACACGATGCCATTGACTCAAGTCAACCCGCTCGATGTCGCCGCGCACCCCTTCCCCGGCCAGGGGCTGAACAAGGTGGTCGAGATGGCCAACTACACGGCCGGGACTCCCGCCGAGGTCTCCTTTACGGGAACCGCTGTCCACGGCGGCGGCTCCTGCCAGTTCGCTATCGCCTACCACGACGACTCGGTAGACCCGGCAACCCTCAGGGACCCAAAGGCCTGGAGGGTGCTCGCGTCCGTCATCGGAGGGTGCCCCGCCGAGGCTGTGGGTAACCTCGATGAGACGGGCAGGGACAGCGACGGCCGCTTCGAGGGCAAGGTTTGCGCACACTTTGCCGAAAAGGAGTGTAGCAAGACTTTCAAGATCCCGCTCCCCAAGGAGCTCCCCAACGGCCGCGCATCGTTTGCTTGGACTTGGTTCAACAATATAGGGGCAAGTTGTCCCTGCCGTGCTTAAAGAGAGTACAGAAGCTAAGCCTTGTGGAATCGAGATACAGAACCGAGAAATGTATATGAATGTGGCTCCCGGTTCGTTACTTTACGGCTAATGGCGACGGTAAATGTCATGTTATTTACATTCTATGCGTCAAAACGTGATAGTCATCGTTTCAGGCGGCTCAGATCGAACGGCCGGCTTCAACTACCTCGAAACTCTCCCTCCACTCTTCATCGCCAACATCGCCGGCGACCCGCTGAGTACGTGCGCCACAGGAAAGGAGGGTGTCCTCGGCTTCCCGAACCCGGGGAAGACGGGCATGGTCATCCAGGACGCCGACGCGGAGTCTTCAGGAACCTGCGAGATGCCCAAGGCCCTCAAGCCCGAGTTCGAAAACGACATCACGCAGCTCAACCACGCCGGCGGGGGCCCCGGCGCCGGGAACAGCTCCAGCTCGCAGCCGCCGTACACAGGGCCCATCAGCAGCGCACCGGGCGGCGGCTTCTCTACAATCCCTAGTGTGCCCACGACGCTGATCACGTCCACCACTAGGCCCGCGGTCGGCGCCGACCAAGGCATGACGACGACCGTGACGACGACGGTCCACGCAACGGTCTATGTCACGCTGCCAGGCGCTGCTACCAGCTACGTGACCGGTGGTGGCAGTGCCGCTTCCGGGATGCCGGCTCCCCCAGTCTCGGTGGCCTGCAAGGAAGGGGACGTCATGATATGCATCGGAAGCACGCATTTTGGCCTGTGCAACCACGGCAGCGCCATCCCGCAGCCTGTGGCGGCGGGGACTGTGTGCTCTAGGAACCAGATTGTCCACCAAGGGGCTTGAGGTGAATCTTTCATCCCCATGAGGCTTTGCGGGTGTTGTGGACGTATTAGAAGTCCACCAGCGGTTATTGTGAGTGGTTTACACGCGAAAAGAGCACAGTTGGTTGGTTCGTCCGCCGTAGCCTGGCGGCCATGTATATAATGAATTTGATAATGCATCTATCCAATAGGTCAAACCATGCACGCCAAAACCAAGCCAAAAACGCCATGCTAGAAGAAATGCAGTCATTCCCACCAAGAGCCTAAAAGCCTCAAGGCTTCGAGCCTCACATAAAAGCAAAAAAGACACCAATGGCACCCAGCGCCGCAGCAGCAGAGACGGCCACGCCCGCGGGGGCGGCGGCCTTCTTGCTGGTGGTAGCCGCAGCAGCAATGCCCGTCGTGCCCGACGAGGACGAGGAGGACGTCGTGGTCGTGCTGGAGCTCGAAGTACTCGACGACGACGACGACGACGAAGACGAAGACGAAGACGAAGACGACGACGAAGACGACGACGAAGACGAGCTGGTAGTAGTAGTAGCCTGACTGCCACCCGCAGTCCCAGACCCGTACGAGCTGGTGCTGGTGCTGTTACCGCTCATCATGACGGTGAACAGGCTCCTCCCGCCCTCGCAGCTGACGGTGCCGTCGACGAGGCCGACGCGGGCGCCGCCGCAGCACACGTTGTTGAGCATGTTGCCCGGGCAGCCGCGGTACAGCGGGTTGGACGTGACGCACGCCTCCAGCGGCAGCCGCCACTCGACGCCCGCGCCGGAGCAGTCCGGGTCCGTCGACGACCTGCAGCACAGGCCGCGCTCGGCGTCGTAGGCGCCCGGGCACGGGAGCGGCGGCACCGGCCGGGTCGTGCCGACGGGGAAGTTGAACTCGGGGCGGGGCGGCGCCGTGGTGCAGTAGGCGGGCGTGCCGGTCGTGGTTGTGTCCGAGGTCGAGGTGCTGGCGGAGGAGGTGGTCGAGGTGGTCGAGGTTGGGACTGCCAGGGCGACGGCGGGCAGCAGCGCCAGCACGGCTGCGATGGCGCGTGTGTTGATGGGGCCGCTGAACTGCGACATTGTGATGTTTTCACTTGCTCACTCTTTTGTTTCAACTTCTCTGCCTTGTCCCCCGATGTGACTTGTCGTTTTCTTGGTGGTTGTACGAGTTTCTTGGATATCGACATCAAGGACGGCAGATGCGATGCCAAGAGGCATCTTGCCATTCCAATGGCCAAGATTGATCTTTATAGCCAACAAGAGCCATGTTTGCCGCATTGGTTGCTGTTTGAATGTCGTAGTAAGCCGACACCTGTCAGCTCCAGTAATCTGTAGGGGTCGTGGCTGACTTGACACCGAGGCGAAATACCGAATCTGGATGCTGACTGGCGCTACAGCCAATTATATCGCGGCGGTGCCTGCCACTGCAGCTGTGTGGCCTTTGCCATCTCCTGTGGATCGACTAACCCGCCACGCAAGTAATCGATAAAGGTTAATGCTAATTGCTATAGGTTTAATACAATAATTTTATTTCAAGCCGTCTAAATCACATGACCCTTGGGCCCGTGCCCGGATGCTCAAGGCTTCTGGGGTGCGCGGCCATCCGGCCCTAGCCACTCTGTGGCGGAACCCTTGTCAGGAGAGCAGGAACCATGGCGGGGCCAGGGACCACCCCGCAGGGAGGTCACCTGCCGACTTATGTCAGCTAAGCTGCTATGGTTGTGTATGAGGTTGGGGCCAAGGCACGTGACCTGGACCGCCCACGCACAATCTGCCGTGGTAGCCAGAAATCGCCTACCGGGATACCTCACACAGGTTGCTATGAACATAGCAGACATAGCAAGGACCTAGTGTACGTACCTCAAGGCATAGATACTTTTTGACTGAGGCCTCGGCATCAGTCAACCTAAGTTAGCTTCCAAGTATCCCTTGGAGCAAGCATTCAGACCGCACCCAAACCCTTTGTGAATCCCCTCAGTTGTCCACGTCACATGATACTACTAATCACCTCCCTAGGCGCCCTACCTTAGGAGCAGAGGCCTGACTGTAACGCGTAGCGTTTTTAAACAGAGTGTTTGCTACTCCTCGCCTAGCGACCACGTATTAGGAAGGAGCAATGTAGTCACTGAGATAAAAGCTGCGGTATTGCAGTTCCAATGCCTAAAATCCGAAGGGAAGGGCCGAATACATAGTGCTATACCTCCAACGCCACTTAGCTTCACCCACAAGTAAACTGGAACGTCCCACGCCCATTCCCCCAACTGCCCGCCATATTCCGCCAACTGTTATTCAATCGTCCGGAATACTCCCAGCTGTGTTTGCCAACATAAGCCTTAACGAACGACACGCGCCCAGAGGCGTAAACATCCCCCTTGATGGTGAAGTACCCGACCGAGTCACTGCCACTCCCGGTGATGGCGACAGACTTGCCATCGTCCCGGGCTCGCCTTGTTGTCAGACTGAGAATGCTCAGCCCATCCGTCCTCCCGTCCGAGTAGTAGTAGTATCCCCGCCACGGGCCGTCCAGGGCCTTCTTGATGCGCGTGAGCCGGCCCTCGGGCTCGGGTTGAACCTTGACGCGCGCCCGGCGTCCTGGGTACGCCTCGGCTATAAAGCGCTTGTCCGCGTTGGACAGTGTCGAGTTGGGCTTTGTGAAGAATTCCCCTTTTGTGAGACTGGACGGAAATGAGTAGAGCATGATGGACTCCTTGTCAAACGACGAAAACTGCGTTATGTCGATGCTGTAGGCCTTGAAGATGTTTCTGCGCACTTTTGGTTTGTCCCAGCCCAAAGTCTGTTTGTAGTACTTGTACACGGCCTTTTTGTCCCAGGGTATGTTCCCCGCCGGGCTCTGGTGCTCGTGGATGCAGCCGAGGGCGTGGCCAAACTCGTGCAGCACGGTGCGCGAGAACTCCATCTCGGGCGTCGTGTCAGTGAACCAGCCAAAATTCATGGTTGCCTGGTCCTTGGGCACGTTGCGGCAGCTGGTGCCGATGACGGACCATGAGCCACCACCTTTGATAAACGACACACGAATGTCGGCATCGCCTCTCTTGACAAAGTTCATCTTGAGGTTGGCGTGCTCGAGCCAGCCACGCGCGTACTTTTTCACCATTTTCTGCACGTTGCTCGTCCCACCGAGCAGCTTGATCCGGATGGTCTCGCCAGGGGTCCACATGTAGTCGCTGACCATGGCCATGTCGGCTATCTCCTCACTGGGTGGCTCACCCCCGCCCTTCGGGGCCGACGACTGAGCGTCAGTGTCGTCAATCTCATGCACAGGGTCGGGAATGATGGTGCAGAGGTGTACGGACTCCATTTGGAGCGTTTCAAGAATGGGAATTAAGCAGTGGAGCGTGTGTGAGAGGTTGGGTAGTGAAGCTGGTGTGGCCTGTAAATACCTGGGAATATGATTTAGGGAAAAGTGGTAGTGAAAAGCTGGGGAGAGGTGGGTTGGCTATAAGTTGAGAACATTGGTAGCTCTTGGATAACTAGTCTTCGGTGTATTGCTTTAAGGTGAACTGCGCCTGGCCTTGCCCCCAACCTTTCGCCTCACGAAAGGCTACAAGTGGGCGTTATGGACCAACATAGCGGCATCTTCTTGGGGAAACTCCGATGCCGCCTACGCCGGGCGGTGCTTGCACATCTTCCCTTCGCCGCCCAATTTTAAGGCAAGCTTAGCTGTTTAAGCCGACGGGATGGTGGGAAGTGGTTTTAATTGGTAGGTACAACGCAGCAACACTACCGCTGCCCGCTATTCCTGCACGGCTTTCAAGCCGTTGCTAACGTGGACGCTCCTAAGGACATGAATGGAGTCATTGGCCTCAAGATGGTGTGTGGTGGTTTAGATTGATAGGTGTAACGCAACAACGACAATGCTGCTCGCTGCTCCGACAGTTTTCAAGCAGTCGTCAACGTGTACACTGCTCAGGACACGAATAAATTAATGGCTTTAACTGGTGGTTTAGATTGGTAGGTGTGACTGCAGCAACGCTGCTGCTGCACGCTGCCACGCTGCCACGCTGCCCAAAAAAAGTTGGCAATCTTTCAGCCTTTCAAGGTGGTGGACCCATAAATATCTATCGGGGAAAGGGCTGCCATCTTGTTTTGGGCATCGTGGCTGCTTGGGCACGAATAAGTCATTGGAACCACCTTCTCTTCGTCGTGCCTTATCACGTGCCATTTCTCCAAGTGGTGTTCAGCCAGCCGGGAGGGTATGTGCCTATCCCCCGTCGCAAAGTAAAGCAAACCCAAATGCGCCAAATACAGTCGTCGTCCATGGCCTTTAAGGGTTGGACGCGGAGCAAAGACTCGTGGTCTCCCGATATCTCCCTGTTGAGAAGAGCGCCGCCGGTCATTTCGCAAACACCAACGACATTTTTCTCCAGCAACAAATTATATTTCCAGGCTCCCTGCGTGCTGAAAACATGGGCGGGAGCCAATCCTCCCTTGGCGCCACCGACACAAACCGCGATGTTGGCTCGGCACAGCAAGCTGGGCAGTTGATGGACTTTGACGAATCATTCCTGCCCAAAGTACGTCCTCCACTGGGCCCAGCCGCGGATTTCGGCCTGAGCTCCGGCCAGGTGATCAAGATATTCGGCTGTAATCCAGACAACTTCACCAGTATCCCCAGCCGGCTCGTCGTCCCCGTCCTAAAAGGGCGTCGTGAGAGTGACGGGTCCTTCTGGACCCGTGGCTGGGTCTACATTGTCGAGCCGCAGGAGTGGGTTCCCGTCGTTAGACACGGCGACTCCGTCACGGTGTCCGAGTTTGCATCGCCTCGATCCAAGATGCGGAGCCTGGGCATTGCCGAGTCCAAGTTCAACAGTAGCTGTAAAGCCAGCATATATTTCCAGCACGGTGGCTCTTTTTACAGCACGAGATCCGATGTTCGGCAAACTGCCAAGCTCGCCTTCGAGTATAGCGACACATCCGCGACTGAGGCTCAACTTCGCAGAAATGGAGTAGCCGACGACACTTTGGTTCAGGAGCTACTTCTCTACCCCATTCTACGATGCAAAGGCATCAAGCGACAGCGCATCGACTACATCGTCAACATGACGCGCAAGAGCCTAGAGTGGGCGGCGAAACCATCCTATACCGACGGCCTGGAACGTGTCCGCGTCAAGGCGTCACGTCTGGCGAGACGGATTGCTAACCTGCAGCTCCACCCTGTACCGGTTTACGGGAGCGAGGGCGAGGATGAGGCGCGTCTGCTGCCCGTTCCCAAGATTGGGCAGGACGGCGACATGCAGGTGATGACATTGCTCAGTCGCGCAGATTGGCCGGACTGGTATATTTACGAAGCCCCGTTTGAGGAGTGGACGAAGACAATCGACCTGGCAGCTCCTCAAAATGACGTGGCGGTCCGGCCTAGCAGCTGTTGGACAACTCTTCTTGACGAATTTCTTGGGGAGGGGTCTGACGATAATGACAGTGTATCTACGGATGGGGAACTTGAGGTCGGCGGAGAGAGCAGCTCTGGGAAAGGGCCCGGGAATTCGAGGAAGGGAGATATGGGGCTGCCTCGGGGGGAAGGGATTATGGTTTCGGAATGCCCGTTCTAATCGCAGCGATATAAATAAAGATATCTGGGTCTGGTTTAAATAGCTTGAACATTGTAGCTAGGACTTGTTGAACACCTGGCTATCTGAGATCAGGTACAGGGTGTATCGTACCTTGGCGAGCGACTGTTAACTAAAGATTCACACGAGGCCTTCCATTCCCATCCCAAGAATCATTTCGCCCACCGTCTCAAGCCTCCGTCCAAACATACCAGGGACACGTACGCTCAGAAGCCCAAGTCAGCCAGCGAATGAATACCACCCTCAAAATCATTCTTCAGGGGCACCCCAAACCTGTCCCACTCGCGTTCCTCCGCCTCGGCTGCATCTACCGTCGCCAGTTCCTCGTCCTCCGACTCATCAGTTTCCACGTAGACGCCCTCAGTCCCCGGTGCAGGAGCCATAGCATCCATCACCTCCATTCCCGGCGGCATCGCCGCCATGGGCATGTTGCGCGCTCTCCCCGTGCCAGCGGCGCCCCTCTTCTTGGTGGGCAATCGAACGCCTTGCCGCCATGAAAAGAAGTTGTCCCGGTCCCACGTCTGCTTGACGCGCCGCAGCTCCTCGCGGTTGTCCCCGTAGTATGCCGCCTCGTGCGCATCCCGCCGCAGCTCTCTGTCGGGGAAGTTGATGAAGGCTGCGCGTCCGTCGATCGAGAGCGGCCGGAGATCCTTTTCCATCTCCTTAAGGAAGCGCTTCATATCTTCCCCAAGCCACTTGTCCTTCCACTGCAGCATGATGTAGGTGTGGTAGATGCACGAGCGCCATGGGAATGCCGTGGCGTTGGCTTTCTTCTAGTTTGCCTCGCCGCCCGAGTGAATCCACGTCACCTGCAGCAGCCCCTTCTCGCCGACAAACTGCTTCCTAAAATCGCCCATGCTCTTCCTGATGCGCTTAGTGGCGTCGTTGATCGTACTGCGATTGTTGCCAAAAACGAAGGAGGTGTAGATGCGGTAGAATCTGTCGGCCGAGGGCAGAGCCATAGCGATCTCTTCGGACCATTGCTCAACAAGCGTCTCGTGGAGGAACCGCGACGATTTCTCGGCCATGGTGCGGCGCTTCATCAATTTTGCCAGCTCTTTATCCTTGATGTACTTGTCGATGGTCTTGTCCAAGTCGGTCTTCTCGCCGTCGTGGTAGATCAGGAACCGAATGCCAACCTCGCTTCCGGTCTGGTCGAGATCGCAGATCCAGGTGCTGTCGACAGTGGTGCTGTTGGGCCACTTGGCTGTATAGAAGCTTCTCATGGTGTCCATGAACTTCTCCATGGCATCTGCATCCGGCTTTGGGAGCCAAGTGAACCTTCCCGCCACTACCTGCTTCCCTGCCAGACGCTGCACTTTCATCTTGAGTGACACCACAACACCAAAGTTGCCTCCGCCCGCGCCGCAGAGCGCCCAGAAGAGCTTCCTCTCGTTCGAGTTGTTCTTGTCACTTTCTTTGACAGTGATCACCTTCCCGTTCGCCGTGACGATGGTAGCCTCAACCAGCGTATCACACCCCATGCCAAAACTTCTCGTGAAGGGACTCAGGCCGCCGCCCAAGATGAAGCCACTAACTCCGACTGTCGGGCACCGCCCTCCATTTATGACGTACCCATCGTGGCGACCGTTGACAAGCTCCTTGTAGGCGTGGCCCCATTTCGCCCCTCCCTCCAGCGTGACGAATTCCGGAGTTCGCGACCCGGGCGCCATGTCGAGTTTCACCTTGTTCATCCTGAGGAGGTCCAACAGGATACCACCATCTGCGGTGGACGAGCCGGCGTACGAGTGGCCGCCGTTCTTGATAGTAACACGGAGCTTCTTAACTCGCGCCTCGTTGATAATGGCTTGAACCTGCTTAACATTTCTGGGTTGAACAACACACAAGGGTCGGGAGAAGCGGTAAAGGAGGTTCTCGGTTGCGACAGCGCGTTCGTAGTCCCGCTCTCCAGGCTTCAGAAGCGCCGCGCCTCCTATTTCGGCACTCGTGATGGGAGCTGCCATGGCTCGCTCTGGATGCCCGTTAAGGTGGCGTGGTCAACATCTAAAGCGCCCACTCTTCACAGGAGTGGCTGTGGTATATATGCGTAGGTCATGTAAGCTGGTACCCCGCAGGCAGTATATGGAGGGGTCTGGGCCCGCGCGTGTTGCGCAGTTGCCCATTGATTCCATGGCTGGTGCCCAAGTAACTATTCTCTTCTATGCACGCGATCGGCCCAATCGGCCCAACGGAGGTCCCTCCTTCGAGGATCTCGAGCCCCTCCGTGGATACTGAAATAGGTAGTTACTATGCACCGTTCATGTCAATCGGGAAGCACTATTACGAAACACAAGGCAACCTAAAAGGGGAATGCCGCCAAACCGGCGGGAAATCTTTAATGGAATCCTTCTAAAGGGACCGCTCTTCCAGTGCCTCAGGCAATCAATACCCGTGCCTAAGGCTTCCTTCAAACTGTATGGAGTGCCTCCTTTGTGACAAACCTTTACAAAGGAAAGGGAGAAGAAGGAGGAAGAAGGGTAATAAAAATTGAAAAAAAAGGGTAATTGGTAATAAAGTATAGGATACGCAGTCAATGTTTGGCCGGTGAGGTACCAAAAAATCGAAAACATTGAGTTTGGTTAGAGGGAAAAAGAAAAGGGGAAGAGGGATGGGGGACTAAAGGAGAATATAAAATTCGACGACGGGCTGTTATTCCCAAACGCTCGATACGGCCGGGCGCCGCGCGAGCCTGGTGGTTTTTACGACGAACTCGGGAGTGACTTCCTTACCAAGAAGCCGCCGGTTGCGAACGGGGTTGGGAGTGCTTGTTTAAGGTGCTGTGGCTGTCACCAGTTTCCCGCCCGGACAGCAGGGCCGCGATTTCCCCTGGCACCTGAGCCTTCGCTCAAGGAGGGGAGTGGAATGCTTTCTTCGTGTTGCGGCGTCCCGAACTCTCAAGCTTGGCCGTTAGCCGGGAATATACTCCTCTATACTATCAAGCAGAGCACCAGCACCCAATGCCGCCGACATAACCGAAAGAGTAGCACGAGTTTACGAGCGCCAGTGTTAGCCCGGGGATACGGCACTGCTATCACGGCAGCGACGGCTCGGCTGCTTGAAGCCGGCCCCTCACATACCTCATGTGTCCCGCGCAGATGCGGTTTTAGCCGGAACCGCTGAGTGGCCTGCCGTGGCAATGTGGCATATATGATATTACGACCTAGGCGGGAGTGACCAGACCCATTTGTATTTCGAGGGGCTGGCACACTCATGGCGAGGTCGCATATGTATCAATGGCCAACGTATGCTTACCGGTACTTTGCAATCACAAACATGCAGCTTGCCCCTCGACAACATGCAAGAGATATTGGGAGCAGGACGGCACGCATGTAATTCGTCGAGGGCCCTGACAGCCCGCGCCTAAATCCGCTACTCGGGGCGATAAGAAGCAGTGCTGCCCTCTTTGCATGGAATTCATTAAAAATCCGGATGGCGCTAGAAGGGTTGCAGGAGGGGGCCGCGGCCCGGTCGGAAGAGGTGGGCGAGACGAAGCAGAAGTATTTAATATTGACATGGGAACCAAGACCGCACCCAGACTGTAACGCCGCACCACGCACCACTCGACACTCGCCAGCCGCACCCCATGATGCCACGCTGGAACCCCCTCATCCTCAGCCTGGCCGGCCTCCTCCACCAGGCGGGCCAGGCCGCCAGCCAGGACCCCGGCCCCTTCGACCCCTCAAAGGCCGTCATCCCGCCCATGCTGCGCTTCCAGTGCTCGCAGCTGGTCGTCGAGCGCCTGGACCCCCTCGTCAACCCGGGCTCCGTGCCGTCCCCGCACCTGCACCAGATCGTCGGCGGCGACTCCTTCAACGCGTCCATGGAGCCCGCGGCGCACGACCCCGCCGCCCGGTCCGGCTGCACCTCGTGCACCTTCAGCCAGGACTTTTCAAACTACTGGACCGCCGTGCTGTACTTTCGCGCCCGCAACGGCACCTACAAGCGCGTGCCGCAGGTGCCGAGCGAGGGGCTGAGGGGCGTCGGCGGCATCACCGTCTACTACATCCCGCCGCTGGGGCAGAACAAGACGACGGCCTTTAAGCCCGGGTTCCGCATGCTCGTCGGCGACGTCGGGCTCAGGGGCCCCGCGCCCCAGGGCAAGGTCGACCCCAAGGTGTGCCATCGGTGCATGCCCAAGACCGGGGACAGCAACAACCTGAACTGCGCGCCGCCCGACAGCGTGACGCTGCCGAAAAAGTTCTGCGCGGGCGGCATCAGGAGCGTCATAACCTTCCCCACGTGCTGGGACGGCGTCAACCTGGACAGCGCGGACCACAAGAGCCACGTCGCGTATCCGGTCAAGGGGACCATCAAGGACATGTACGACTACGACGGGGGCGTCTGTCCCGATAGCCACCCTGTCAAGGTCCCGCAGGTCATGTATGAGGTTATTTGGGATGTGAGTATCCTCCTCGCAATGTCTAGCGGCGGCACGTTTACTGAAAGGCGGCATGCTACTACCGACAGACGACACCGTTCAATGACCCGGACCTGTGGCCCGAAGACAAGTCGCGGCAGCCTTTTGTGTGGAGTAATGGTGATGAGTACGTTTTCACTGCCATTGGTACATCTGCATCGACCCTACGCGTGCAAGGCTGACATGCTCCAACAGACACGGGTACTCCCAGCACGGTGACTACGTGTAAGTGTTTGAAACTCATCCTTTTTACAAGCTAGAACCTACTAACACACCCTAGCTTCGGGTGGAAGGACGACGCCCTCCAGCGCGCCATGGATGACCGCTGCTTTGGCGACGTCTGCAAGAGTATAGAGACGCAATCTCCCGAAAAGGCGGCCGAGTGTGTCAAGAGCAGGACAGTGAACGAGGACATTGACGGATGTAAGCTGTCTTGGCAGTGTAGTGACTCCCTGAAACCCGAACTAACCATGTACACTGAACAGGGCTCACTGATCTTCCGGGCATGGCGGGTATGAAGAAATGACGATGGGGGAGCTGAGAATGGGACTAATGACGGGGAGGAGCATTTGTACAACGGGTAGGTAGTTCAATGCAGTCCCAGACATCTTTGACGCAATAAGGGGTGTAATGGCCGAGTAATTATCAGCCATAGCAGCGCGCTTCAACACGGCCCAGCCGCTTGGTGTGGGCTGGTGGGACCTGAAAGACGAGAAAAAGTATCCTGTATGTTCGGATCTCGCACTCCGGCCCGTCAGATCGAAACGTCCCGGAAGGATCAGCTATCCCTCCGCTCCGCCAAGCGTCAGACTTGCATAACCCCAGCCCCCACGCTATTCTTGAAGGATCCGGATCGACGGCTTGGCAGGCAAGGCCACCTCGACAACAATTGCCTGCCAGAAACGGGGGCTGCGATAACGAATGCCCACCTCACACCTCCGCATGCTCTAGTCTTGTTCGGGCAGGTCGCGGCGGCGCTGCAGCAGCCCATCATGGGCCCTCGAGTAGCGCCGCGGCGGATGGATGCCTGGCATCGGGCGTCCGAGGTTCCCGCAGAGGACCACTGCGTGTATATAAGTGTGTGCTGTACCTGGCCATCCGCCCATGTCCTCTAGATCCCCCGACTCTGTTCAACGGCCCGCTCCGACATCAGGCACGCAACCCAAACAACAAGACCTCAAAACAGCCAAAAAAAAAAAAAAAAAAAAATGAAGCTCCTCGCCGTCCTGACCGCCGCCCTCAGCGTCGCGGGCCTCGCCGTGGCCCAGCAGAACTGCCGACAGCTGTAATGCCACCCCCCTCTAGCCGCAGCCAGAGGCATGCCCAGTACTGACCTAGTGGTTGGAATGCAAAACAGGAACGAGCAGTACTGCGAGTGCTCGGGTTACTGCTACCTCACGCGCGACGGCGGCTGCAGCCCGCCGCTGCGCTGGGTTGGGCTCTGCCCGCTGTAAGAGAGCGGCACAGGCACCTTCTACGAGTGTTGCAGAGAAGGGAAGGGAGTGGGAGGCGTCTAGATGGCTAGAGCGGAAGTTGGGGTGTTCTTGACAGCAAACCAAGAAAATAAAGCCTCCAAGTGGAATCTCGGGTATATTGAAAAGGAAAAACGATGAAATCACACAAAGACAAAGCAAATGACGAACAACACACCCCCAGTCCCATCACAACCACAAACGCAGTCCCATAGCCCCCTACGGCGCGCCGCCAGCCCCAGGAGGTGCACCCCCAGCCCCCGGCGGGACGTTCCACTGCGGCACCGGCACGGGCGGCGGCGACGGCATCGGCCTGGCCGGGTCGGCAATGACCGGGTCCGGCGGCGGCGGGTCGATGGTGTCAAAGAAGTGATCAAAGTAATTTTTGATGTTGGCATCGGTCTCGAGGTCCGACTGCTCGTGGGACGGGTCGTCGTCGTCGACGGCGGCGCAGCCGGCCTCGGCCGCCTCGAGCAGCTCCTTGAGGCTCGGGCGGTCGCAGGGCTCGTCGGCCATCATGCGCACCACCAGGTGGCGCAGCGTGTCCGAGATGTGGGCGTGGCCCGGCTCGTTGAGCGGGTGCGCGTACATCCAAAACGTCCTGCGCCCGTCCCCGCCCGGGTCCGCTTCCATGTTGGGCAGGATCGGGATCTCCTTGGGCACCGGGGGGTTCATCGGGGCTCTCTGCATGATGATGACCCACATGGTCTTTGGTTGTTTAGTCTGTGACCTTGGAGATCGGGGTTGGGGTGATGAGGCAAAGCTTACCACTCCAATGGCCCATACGTTTGTCCACCAGCCGTAGTTGCCAGCGACATGTTGATACGACGTCCTAAATTTATACTTGGGCTTTCCTAGTTGTTTCCAGGGGTTCAGGTAGCAATAATCCCACTGATCGGTAAATTGCTCCTAGATCGGGTGAAATATTGATGGTTAGGCTGGTGGAAAAGGTATTGCAGAGACAAATATAAACTTACCGGCGCCAGGTACCCTTGCTTGCCCGTATGGCGCAGCACCCACATCATAAAGCTGTCCTCGATGCCTAGTCAGATTATCTAGATCCATACGAGGCTCGACCTGTCCTGGGATCACGTACTCATTCTCTCTTAAAACGTCTCTATGCATGGGCTTGGTGGTTCCAAAGTCGCCAATCTGAGCCATGGGCATAATTGGATGGTCGACGTCGCTGGTCAGGAAGACTGGCGACAGACGTGTTAGCGGAGAAACGAGAAGCATGGGTCGGCTAGAGAGCATGGGTGGACTCACTGTTGTAGGGGTCAAGGTCAAAGTGGACAAAGTTACTAAGGTAGAGTTCATCCATCGGTGGCAGCTTCTCTTGGATCAGCGGGGGCCAGTCCGGCACGGGCTGCCCGCTGGCCTCGGCCTGCTTCCTGACGGGCGACCACATGGCGATGCACCCGCGGACGACTAGTAAAGGGAGGCATCGAAGCGTCAGCGATGCGTGAGGAAGGCAGGATCAGGGATGGTTGCCCGGAGAGGCGGGTACTCACGGCACTCCAGCAGGCGCCAGCAGAACTTGTCCCTGACGGGAATCCGCAGGCGCGCCAGGAGAGCGACCATCTTGTCTAGGGCGCCCTTGTCGGAGAAGATCTGGATCAGCAGGCTCTTCTCAGCGTCAACCTTTTTGATGGCGTCGACCGTCTCTGCATCAAGGTTGAGGTGATGCAGCTGCAGCGGCACCGCGGGGTTGCCGTGCTCCTCGTTCCCGAGCATCTCGTGCACCTCGGCGATGGTGGCCAGCTGCGTGATGTGCCGGCAGCGCTTCAGCCACTTTAGGGTTGGGTTCGCATGTCAGCTGCGGCGCTTCTTTTTCATGGGAGGAGGGTGCTTACAGTCAGGACGTTCTTCTCGTTCCTCATATCGGTGCCTCTCAGCGACATCTTGACCACAATGCGCTTCTTGGCACCCGTCTTCTGGTTGACAACCTCGTACAGACACGCGGCGCCGTTGCCTCCGGCGCCCAAGAGGCGGACAAAGCGAGCCCCGGCCGCGAGCAGGCCCCCGCTGTAATCGTTGATCGCCTTCCGAGGGAGGGACTGGACGACCTCGGCCTTGTTCTTCCCCTTCAGCCTCCTCTCGCCCACGTTGCGGAAGTGGTGTCTCGACACCTGGTCAGCGTCCGCCATGCCCTGGGCCATTTTTGAGTTGGCGCTGTTCAGTTCGCGGATCCTCTCTCGGTAGAAGCCTGTGGGAAGCTTGAGCGTTTGCCATATGGGCTTGCGATACTCCTCATCCCAGCCCTGGCCTCTGCCCTTGCGGTACTCAAAGAAGCGGTCCGATTTCTTTTGCATTTCTAGTATGAGCCCCGGGGGGAGCGGGAGCGGGTGGAGCGGCCCCGCGGGTGCTCTAACTGCGAGGACATGTGCCGGACCGATGGGCATTGAAGGCTGTGCGATGGGGAAGGCGGGTGCCGCGGCCAGCAGAGGCGGGTGGAATACCGGACCGGCGGGCAATGCGGGCTGTCCGATAGGAAAGTAGGGTCTTACGGCTGGTAGAGGCGGGTTAAATACCGGGACGCGGCCTGGTGGAAGCTGCGAGGGCCCCGCCGCATCTGGCACCGCCGCGTCCGGCACCAGAGGGCTAAAGTCGGGGGCTCGATCTGGAAGTTGCGCGGGCATGACTGCGCCCGGTAGCAGCGGCTTGAACGCCGTGGCCCGCATCCCTGGCAACGGTCCAGGCACCGGCGCTTGGTTCATAGCGATGAAGTGAGAGGCCATGCCCCCGAACTGCATGCCTGCAGGTGGTCGAGGCGGGTTCGGCCCCATGTGGGGGGGGCACAGGCGCGGGAAGCCCCTGGTTCGGCTGCCGGAATGGCGGGATCGCGGGTACGGGCAGGCTCGCTCCTGCGTCGGTTCGCTGGCGCTTCGGAGGCCCCTGAGACACCGCCGGGGACGGGCCTGGGTTGTAGCCGGCCGGGGCCCTTGGCGGCGGCGGAGGCATTAGGTTGAAGCCCCCCGCCATTGGCGCCCTGGGACCGGAAGCTGCGGGGTTCATGAGGCCCGCGAAGCCCCTTGGGACTGGCGGAGGCGGAGGCGGCGGCGCGAGAGCGGGCTGGCCAGGGGCAAGACCCGGTGGCGGCAATGGGCCGCCATCAAAGGGGTTGGGGTCATTGAGATCATTGGGATCATTGGGGTCGTCTTCCGCACGTCTTTTTGGCGGCATCTTTGCGGTGTGATGGTTGGACTGCTAGGGGATGGGAAGGTGAGAAAGGAGGGATTCAAGTGCGAAACGAGGAGCTTCGTGAGATGCCATGTTCAACATGCGCCGCCGTCGCGAAAGGCGAGGACAAATACTTTAATAAGACTGACTGGATTCGGAAGCAGAGAATAGGAAACAAAGCGTCGCGCCGCTCATTTGGCCCGGATGCGGATGTTGTTTCTCGGGGTTGGTCATCATTGTCGAGCACAGTGCAGGAAGCGAGCGACTAGCAAGATTGAAATTCGCACTGCCGTTTGCCGTTTTCGGCAGGTCCGTCCTGCTAGCACATTATCTAGCATTTGGCACAGAAAAAACACACATAGAGCAAACTGTCCAAAAAGCACATAATTTGGTGGAACAAAGGAAGTTCCAAGCCTAGTTCCCTCTCTGCTGCCCCTGGCCGTTGCCGGCTCCCTGCTGCCCCTGGCCGTTACCGCCTCCCTGGATCTTGGCCAGCTCCTGGGCGGCGAGCTCGTCGAGCTCAAAGTCGATGTCGATGCCCGCGGCCTCGTTGGCGGCAATCGCCTCGGCGACGACCTCGGCGCTGGCCTGGGCCGCCGCGGCGCTGGCGGACTCGAAGGCCGGGCCCTCGGTGATGGCACCGCCTAGACGGGGGAGAAGAAGAAGAAGAAAAAAAGGAAAGAAGCGTCAGTGAAATCGAGCAATCGCTTCAGCCACGGCCTCAAAAGGCGAAGGAGGTGGAGGGGGGCGGTATGGCCGGAAATTGGAGGACTCACCGATGCCGGCCTGGGCCAAGACTTCAGCAAACGCGATATCGGCGGCGTTGGCAATGCCCTATTCACCGCCGCCCGCCCTGCTTGTTAGAAAAGAGTCTAAGAGGCGGGGTAGGATGGGTTCTGCTCACGTTTGCGCCGTTGTTGGCCCTGTCGTTCTGGGGGTCCGGCTCCGGGAACGCGACGGGAGCTGGGGTCGGGTCGGGCGCCGGGATGGCAGCGACGAGCGAGGCCGCGAGTAGAACGAGGGCCGCGAAGGAGACCATTTTTTTTTTTCGAGCGTGTTGGAATCGAGAATGACCGTTGGTTAAGGATCGGATCGGAGCACAGCTCTCGGAGTAGAAAGGAATGTTCGTAAAGACAAAGTCGAAAAGGACCGAGAAGGGCAGTAAAGGCGCAAAGGAGAGCAATAGATAGTCGAAGAGCAGCAGCCGATGAGTTAAATACCTCTAGCCATCTCCTCACTGATCCCTCCGGCAGCCATCGGGATGATGAAACGCCCAACGGCATCGCCGTCCCGCCTCCAGGCCGTGTCTGACAACTCGCGCCTTTCAGGTTGAGACCTCATGCTTCATCACCCGGCTGACTGTCGCGGCTGCCAATGGACGTTGCGGTAAAATGCGACGCCGTCTACACTGACACCTTGTCGACGCAATAGCCGGTGCCTCACCAGCCAAAAGGCCGCCGTTTGATCCGCGCGGCTCAGTGCCACCAACACCCGGATAAATCGACCTACTGGGTGAGCTGTCTTGTGAGGCAACACAACACGAAAAAAAAAAGAGAAAAAAAAAGGAAAAGAAAATCCACAGCATCTGTCAGCGCCACAGGTGCATGCATCATCAAAAGGCAGGCCGCGAGGTAAAGATGTCATTATTCATCAAACAAGCTTCCTACGTCCCCTCATACCATTATATACCGTGAAAGCCCCCATCGCTTCAATCAGCACTTGGTAGGCTCACCCAGGCCCAGGTCGGTCGCGGCCAGAAGCAGCTCCATGAATCCGCCCGCAATCTCCCTCAGGTTCGAGTTGTACTGCGACTGCGAGGGATAAAAGGGGCACGAGGCAGCACTGTTGCCAAATCCAAACTCGATGGTGTACGAATGGACCGTGTTCAGGCTGGAGTTGGCAAAGTGGCGTGAGTAAGCGTAGTCGTCGGAAGCTGCATCATGTTAGTCCTAGCCGTCCATGTTGGGATCAAGTGACAGAAAGTTCGGATGGCGAGCATGCCAGCCAACTCGGCAGGGGATGATGCAGGCAATGTGAAAAGTCAATACACACCTCCGCTGGTCGGGTACAGGGCAGACGACTGCATGACCGTGTAGGTCCGGCCAGCCGCCCCGCTCATCCCATCGCCGATGCGCTTAGCAGCGCCCTGGTTCAGGGCGTCCTCGGCGGCCGGAACATACTCGCCGTAGCCCTTACCCACGCCGGGTGTGTCGCTGACGATGCCGCGCACGCTATCGTAGGTGGTGTTGAGGAAGCTCATGTAGGGGTACCGCCCCTGGTTGGTGTCGGAGCCCCAGCTGAAAAGAACGTCTCCGGCGTACGAGTGCAGGTCGACAAACCAGCGGACCTTGGAGTACGTGTCCAGAACCCACTTGATGTTCCGGGTCTCGGGCTCCGAGAAGGGGCTGGTGCCTTTTGTCGTGGAATGACGCGTTAGAGGGCCGTCAAGTGCGCCGGGTTGAGGTCTGGAGCTTACCATGGAAAGTTTCGGCACTCGGGATTGTGGAAGCCACCGACGAGGACACGCTCGAGGCGAAGGCCTTCTCATAATCCCACAGAAAGTCAAAGTTTCTATTCAGATCCACGCCAATCGCGTCACTGTTGCCCCCGGAAGACTTTGGGTTGCGGTTTTTACGCCAGCAGCTGTTGCTAGACTGGTCATAGGCCACACCGTCAGGGTTGGACAGCGGGATGAAGACCAAACCGGCCGAGAGGGCCTTCTTAACGTCGGCGGCCGTGTAGGCCTTCCGGCCGTAGGTGAGGCCGACATTGTTCTTGTTGGCGTAGAGCAGGTCCGAGACAAAGTACAGCAGGCCGTCCGAGGCGCCGCGCTCGCGGGCGTGGATGGCGGCGTTGATGAAGACGCGGTACGCGTCGTTGCACTTGCCGCCGGCGCCGCCGATCTTGCCGCCAAAGACGGTCCGGCCCTCGTACGTCTTGGAGGGGCTGTTGAAGGTGTCGAAGCCGTACGTGGTGGCCAGGGCCTGGAAGCCCGTCTCGATCTCCTTGACGCTCAGGAGTGACGTGTAGGCTGTGCTGGAGGCCTGGGTGCCGAGGCCGCGGGGGGCGACGGTGCCGCCGTTGAAGCGGTCGCCGGTGCCGACGGGGATGCCGTTCCTGGTCGAGGCCTGGCGGCGGCCGATGGGGCTGCTCGTCGAGCCGTCGCGCCCCTCGGGCAACAGACAGGCCGAGGTCAGCAGGGGAGCCGAGGCGGCGGCGAGGGTAGTGATCAGCTTCATGATTGCGAGCGGCGTGGGGAGGCAACGAGCGAGACGGAGCGACCGAGGCCAAGGCGGAAGCCCTTTTATGTATGATTGGGGATTGACCAAACGGCTGCCGCCACAGCCACAAGGCAGGGCCAGAACGTGCGGGCGAAAGTCACGACGAGCCATGCAAGCAATGCGACGCCAACCTGGGGAGGGGAGAGTGCGAGAATTCACGACAGCCACTCGTCTGACTCGATGCGACCCAACGTTCCCGCCCTTGGCAGTTGTAGACCCCGGCTGCCAAGCCGCATGCGGAAGGAGCAAACATCACACCTGCCGAACGCGAACATCACGGCAGATAAGCGGCCGGGTTGGTGGGCACGGTGGGTCCTGGAAGAGTTTGAGGAACGACAAGACCGAGGGAGGCTCAAAGCTTATTAAGGCAGGTAATTGACAGGAGCTTAGTCGGATATCGATTTAATGGCATTGACCGCGGGTGCTTTTCATAGCAACCGCTCCGAGCCATTGCGTGCATATCCCTGGCAGCCTGGTTGGGTTTGCCCCCAATTGCCGGACAGGTCAAGTGTTTGAAATGAAAAAGTCAATCTACTTCTAACCGGCTTTGACTGAGCATCCCTTCAAGGGGTCAGTGGTACTGTTACAAATGATAGCCAGCCGGCTCATAACCCGAGCATCTCCCAGTCTTCATCTCCCAGTCTTCATCTCCCAGTCTTCACCTCCCAGTCTTCCTCTCAAGCGAAGCGTCAAGTCACTATCACCTAGGCCGCGTTGCCATTACCATTGCCAGTGAGCGCGACGAGGGGATTCGGGGCCGCGTTGGCACCCGCCTTGTTGCCGTTCGCACCGCCAGCAGCCCCCAGCAGCGCCGCCAGCGGGTTGCCGTTTGCGTTGTTGCCTTGTCCAACGAGGCCGAGGATGGTTCCCAGGGGGTTGTTGTTGTTGTTGTTGCCGGCCGCGGGCGCGGGCTTGGCTGCGGGCTCGGCGGGCTTGGGTGTGGCAGGCTTGGGTGCCGCGGGCTTGGGCGCCGCGGGCTTGCATGCCGCGGGCTCCTCGGGCTTCGGGGTGGCAGGCTCTGCAGGCTTGGGTGTAGCAGGGTCGGCGGGCTTCGGCGCAGCGGGCTCTGCGGGCTTGGGTGTAGCGGGCTCTGCGGGCTTGGGTGTAGTGGGCTCTGCGGGCTTGGGTGTAGCGGGCTCGGCAGGCTCTGCAGGCTTGGGTGCGGCGGGTTCAGCGGGCTTGGGCGCAGCAGGCTCAGCCGGTGCGGGTTCGGCCGGCTTAGCCGGGGCAGCAGCGCCGCCTGCGGGAGCAGCGCTGAGCGCCGCGATGCCCTTGTCGAGCGCCTGGCCGATCTGGTCGACGCTCTGCTGCGCGATGCCTTGGCCGATGGCGGGGACCTTGGAAACGAGAACCTTGCCGAAAGCCGTGCTGTCCGTCTTTTGCTGCTTCAGCGTGGTGACGGCAACCTGGGTGACTCCCAGCTGGTCGAGCGCCGCCTTCTTGCCTGCCAAGGCGGTAACGGTGTCTTGGGCCGCCGTGATCAGGGCGCTCGATGACTGCTGCAGTGAGAGGGCGTCCTGGAGTGACAGCTCCTGGCTGCCTTGGATATCCGCCGTCGCCTGCTTGATGGTCTTGCTCAGTGCGTCCGATGCCGACAGGATGGGAGTACCCGAGTTGATGTCATTGCCGTCCAGCCCCTGGGCCGCCGTCTTGACTTTTCCCAGGCCATCCTCCACCTGCTTCAGCGCTCCTTGAATTGTTGCAAGGTCTCTCTTCGTCAGGGATACTGGGGCTGCCAGGCCCGTGGCCAGAAGCAGAGAGTTGATGATGATGGTGCTGGTCTTCATCTTGCCAATATGTACAAGGGGTACAATATGTAAAGGGGTACAATATGTAAAGGGGTACAATATGTAAAGGGGTATTGAAAGTGAATGTCTTACAGCTCTGCTGCAGTTGTGCTTCAAGCTGACCTGTCTAGCAGGGACTCAAGTCTAAATCAAGTTGAAGGTTTGATGCGTAACTAGAGCCGACAGTTGGTTGGCACTCGGGCGCGACCATCGATATTAATATTGCGGCGAAGCGGCGGCCGTGGGCCATCGCCGGCTCGTCCGAAAGTGCCGTCTCTGCCATCATCGCGGCAGGCTGACTTCCCGGCCGCACGGGCGCCATCACGAGGGCCAGAACTTCAGTCTGCGGGATGTGGCGAGACATGCCCATGCGATTTGACAACAACGAGTGGTATCATTCTAAGCCTATTCGTCCAGTCTTCCATCTCCCCGGCCCAGTGGGCAAGTAGCACTGTAGCGAAGCTAGAGCCAATTGATGTCCTGTTTGCGAGGAGGCGAGGGCGTGATGGGCACCAAACATAGACGACGGAGCCCTCCATCCCCATGTTCCAAACCAGCGATACCGAGCCAATTGAAACCCGAGTCTGGGTGTCAAAACACCGATGTGGTCACAGGCAAGGGGTACTTTGTTTGCTGATCTGCCAATGTTTACAGTTTCTGACGACGCTAGCAGCCGCCAACATGGAATGAGGCGCACACAGGCCGTTGTCCGATCTATTGCGACACTTGAGATGTGGCAAATCATGGCGCCGACCCATTGGGATTGATTTCGCGGGCCAATCAAGACGGGAAGTCTGTCCACTGAAGTCTGTCCACTAGGCGGCGACACACGCCAGCTAATGCTTAGGCCAAACCCTTTGACGAAACAACAGATCCGGCCCTGAGCTCCCGTTTCCTCGGGACGGAACACGAATCATGCCAATTATGCCGAAGAACCCCTGCAGCAGATGGACCCGATCGCGACCCTCGGACTTTTTATCATCAGCAAGGATTCTAAACCAACGCCTTCCCGCTAACCGCTCATCAGCACATCGCCCCCCTGCCAAGCGGCGGCGCCCGGCACGTCCACGCCCGTGAACGGCTTCCAAAAGGCCGGGTCCTCGGGCGGCGTCTCGGGCAGCCGCCTGCGCCACTCCTCCCTCAGCTCCCCGGTCTCGCCGTCGTACGGCGCCCGGCGCTCGACCCAGGCCGCCCACACGCGCACCGCCTCGGCCGCCTCGGCCGCCCCAGCCTCGAACCACTCCCTGTGCCGGCACCCGCACCCGGGACACCCGCTGCGCTGCAGGCGTCTGCGCTCCCCGAGCTGCGCGTGCACGAGCTCCTCGACCCGCAGCGGGTGGCGCGTCCGGGCCGCCGCCACCAGCACGGGCGCGTAGCCGCACCGCGCGCGGACCTGCGCCAGCCGCGACGCCACGGCCCGCTGCGTCGTCATGCCGACCTTGACGTGTCGCGTCGGCGGGCACACGGCCACCGAGTCGGGCAGCGTGAAGACGTAGACGAAGCCGCCGCGGAAGTCGCTGTCGCTGTCGCTGTTGTTGTTGTTGTTGCCTTGCTCCCCTCCCCCGGCGGCCGCCGCCTTACCCTTCTTGCGGACCAGGTCCGTCGCAGTCAGGGGGCGGCGCAGCCGTCGGGTCACCTCGCGGTTGGTGTGGCCGCCGGTCCTGGGGGTGGTGTGGAACGGACTGAACTGGTGCACCTGCGGCAGCGGGCGGAAGACGGTGGCGAGGATGGCCCCGTCGGAGCTGGTGGGCTCTCTTGGGTCCTCGCCGCTGCCGTTGCTTCCGACGCTGTCTGATCCTGAGGAGCTTTGGCCGTTCGGCGCACCACTGTCGCGCAGGGTGTCGACTACGGGGGGGACCTTGCGGAGAAGTTTGCGGTCCGACGGGCCTGATTTACTGTCCTCCTGCGAGCTGCCGGCGCCGTCGCCGTCGCCTGCGGCATTTCCTGTGGCTGCTGCCACGTCTACATCGGATCTAGACGCAGTTTGACCTACATGTGCTACTACCAAGGGCGGAGCTGGAAGAGCCGTGCTACTGGTCGGCTTCTGCTCTGGTATATCTTTACCGGTGCCCGCTGTCAGCTGCCCTGTATTTCCTTTCTGCTCCTCTCGCTGGCACGGATCTGCAGGTCGATCCCGGACGGTGAGTCCTGACAGCCATTGGGCAAGGGATTCCTCGATTTCAAGACAGCTCCTGGAGGCACGGTCTATGTGGCCACGGACAAGCGGCCCGGAGATGGCGGGCCTAGCCACACGAGCAGCCATGTTGACCAAGGGGAGGTGTTTCAGGGCTATGTTGAGGATGGCTATTGGAGTGATGCCCCCGATGGGTCTGTGCTCTGCAGATGAGCGCGAATGGCGGTCTCGCACTTATATGCTCTCACCGCTGGGTCCGTGACTTGCATGGACTCAAACCCAGTCACATCTGATGTTGCTACGCCCGACCGACTCACTCCCGCCTACTGCAAAACGCCCCACTCCAAGACGAGGGTCGAGCAGTAGTGACTTGCAGGGACGCAGCATGAATAGCGCAGAAACCAAGATCAATGTCAACTGTCAAGGGCCGGCAGGACATATGCATTAACGACGAGCCGAATATTACCCCAACGCGAGTGGCTCAGCCCGAGGCGGCGCTCATGTGGCACGGGACGGGAAATAGATGAGGCTATAGCACTGCTTCGCTATGATTTCCCCTGATCTTGGATGAAGCCGCTCTCTAGAGCCAGAGCTGATATTCTTACATGTTGTCTCCTGTTGACGGTGGACTGTCGAGACAAAGGAAATATGTGATGGCTAGGTACATCATGATACGTACCAAGGTGGGCGGATAGAAGGGTACAAAGGCCCTTGCAACATCCTTATTTCTGAACATGAATTAACCGAGGCCGCCAAAATAGCAGCGGCTCAACTCAAGGAAAAAGGGAGCAAAGTGGCAAGGAGATAATAAAAGAGAGCTGCCTATTCCGAGGGCGGGCATGCAAAGCGCTATGTATCATACCATCCACCACCAACGCCTCCTCTTGTGCCCCCCGAACGTTAATGCGAGTAGCAGCCGCATGTCAGCAAGCAAAGCAGCCACCCACACAAGGTCCTCCCGCGGGGGCTCTGTGGACGCACGGTGCTCGTGCTCGTGCTCGTGGGCGTGCTCGTGGGCGGGGGCGGAGGCGGAGGTGGAGGTGGAGGTGGAGGTGGAGGTGGAGGTGGAGGTGGAGGCGGAGGCGGGGGCGGAGGCGTGCTCGTGGGCGGTGGCGGAGGTGAAGGTGAAGGCGGAGGCGGGGGCGGATGCGACTCAGGGGAGGTCTCCCGAGGCTCAGGGGAGGTCTCCCGTGGCGGGGGGCTCCCACCCAAGGTCGTCGGAGGCGACGAACGCCCCCAGGAATCGGGCAGATGGATGCTGCTGCCTACCGAGCTGAGCCCGGTGACGGAGCTGCCGGACGCGAAGGAATCCCTCCACCCGGGCTGGGAAGGGGCCGGCTGCCCGCCGCTGCCCGGTGGCGCTGGTGGGTTCGACTCAGTTGGGGCGACCGGGCCGTCTCCGTCGATGCTGTCAGTTGCTACACCGTCCGGTAAGGGTGTTAGGTTGGGTATGAACATATCCGTTGCCCCGCTTGGACGTGAAAACCCCCCGCCACCGCCTGTACGTGAAAACCTCCCGCCACCGCCGGGCCTCCTCTCGAACCGCGGGCGGTCCATAATCGAGCGCCGTGATTTATTATCGCGGGGCTGCTCCCCTGTGATCTGCTGCTCCTCTGTGGCCGGCTGGTTGCCCGATGAGGCCTGAATTTCCTGAAGCGGCTCATCTTTGTAGGCGGGCTGGTCCCCTTCTGGTTGTTGGTCTCCTCCGGTCTGCTCCTGCTTGGCCGCCTGCTTTTCCGAGGGTAGCTGGCCCTCCCCCAAGGGCTGCTGCCCATTTCCCTCCGCCGCCGGTAGCGAGTTGTTTGCGAGCGGCAGGTCCTTTGTGGGCGACATGTCCTTCTCCACTTCCTTCTTTGGGTGTGGCTGCCCCGGGGCTGGCTGCTGCTTGGCGGGCTTCTCTCCCGAGAGCAACTGGGTTTTCGAGCCGGGCAGGCGGTGATCTTCCGGCGCGTGCTCCACCACAAGCTGCTCTTTTGACGCCGCCGGCTCCTCGGCGATGGGTGCGAGTGGCTCCCCAACGATGGGTGTAAGTGGTTCCCCGACGATGGGTGTTGGTAGCTTTTCGACGATGGGTGTAAGCGGCTCCTCGACGGTGGGTGTAAGCGGGCGCTCTTCGAAGGTGGGTGCAAGTGGCTCCTCGACGACGGTTGTGAGTGGCTCCTTTTCCGTCAAGTCATTATCAGACTGCTCTGTAGACCTCCCCGTTGGGTTCTGAAGGGGCTGCTGTAGGTGCCGCGGTACATCCTGCGGTACGTCTTGCTGTGCGGGCTGCCCTGTTTGCTCATCTGCGGGCGGCCCTGGGAGCAGCCTCATAGGCTGTGCTGGGGGCTGTGCCGGGGGCGGCTTTGTGAGCTCCCTTCCAGGCTGGTTCGCCGTCGGTGTCACCAGCGAGTTTCCAGCCGGCTCGGCATCGAGCAGCAGACGTTGGATATCCTCGGGGTCCTGGGGGAAAGGGAGGGCCCGCCACTCCCGGGAGTACCACCACACCTCGGACCAGCTGATGCATAATCCATTTTTCGGGTCACACATGTCCCCGCGGCGGCTCGCAAGCGCGTCGTGATGCCCGGCGTCTTTGGCGGCCTTGAAGTGCTGGGACCAGCACAGCGCGGCATACCTCACGAGCTGGTGGTCCGCGATCCGGCCCTTAACCTTGAGCTCCCACTCGGCGCCTTCGTCCGCTTCCTGATACCGGTCCCCCGCGTCCTCGAACGAGGGCATGCAGAGGTACGCGGCGCACATGTGCCCCAGCATAGCGTGCGCGTCCTTGGGCGGCGTGTAAATGCTCTCGTGGTGGGAAATGTCCCACCGTTTGCTCTTAAACCACGCGGGTGTGGTGGTCAGGTAGTCGGTCAGGGCCCGGTGGACGGTGGTGACGTGGTTCGTGGGCGAGATGCTGAGGAGCTGGCCACACGCCACGGCCAGATGGGCTTTGAACTGGTGGCTCAGCCGGCGCTCGATGTGAGGGGCGTCCATGGCCGCAAGAGCGGCATCATTCGACTCCTGCAGTCCCAGGGCCCTCCCGAGTCGGTCTTGGTAAATATTGGTCAAGGCAAGGGCGGCGTTCAGCTCTTGCAGTCCCAGGGGCTCCAGGCCAAACACCACCCATAAAAGGACGTTCCGCGTCGTGTCCCAGGAGGTGTCCTTTCTTAACTCGATGCTGCCGATAATCTTGTCGAAGAGCTCGGCGAGCGATCGTGGGAGTTGCTTTAGCTGTTCCTCCAACTGGTGCTGCCTAGGCCTGTTGATCCTAATGTCGGCCATCATGACGGTGGCCCACAGGTAGGTCCCCTGGGCGCCGTTTGTAACGGCGTCACACAGCTCGTTTTGGAACTGCTCCGAGTAATCGGCCTGCCTTGCGAACCCACGCAGGGTCTCCCTGATGGTGTTCCGGATGTCTTGCTCGTTGTCCTTCTTTGTGATTTCGTACACGGTGAACCCTCGCCTCTTATCATTCAGGCTGTCACACCATCGTGACAGCACGAGGACGCCAAGGCCAGGGCGCCCATGCCCTCCCATCTGCTCTTTTTCGAATTTCTCGAGACAGTCGAGGAAAGTGGTTTGGTCACCTTCTGGGATTTCATCGAACCCATCCACGACCATAACAAGCCCTTTGTCGCTAGCTAGCACCCTAGCCACCATGTCTTTCCACAGCATCATCAAATCCCCCACTTCCCACAGCACAACATTGCCGTCCGCCCACAGCACAGCAGTGCCGTCCGCCCAACGAGCTCTCGATAGGTCAACCTTGGTATTGCGGAGATTTTTAAACTCCTTCTGGGCAATAGTGGTACTCCAGATGTCCGGATATTTAGTGGCAAGCTGGTGGATCGTGGACCGGAATATGGCGTGACTGGTGTTGCGGTCCTTAAACCTCCCATCAAGAAAGCATCGGACAACCTCTGTCCCTCCTAGGTGGCTGATTATATTTCTTGCAAGATATGTCTTTCCGACGCCCGTGTCGCCGTGGATCCAAAGCTTTTTGCTCGTGCCATCTTTCCACGCTTCGAACTTCTTCGTCGTCAGTATCCATCCGCCGGTGTTCTCTGTCGGACGTGGCATGTCGGACTCATCGTGGAACCCGTCGGTGCATAGAGACTTGCGCAGAGCATCAAGTTGAGACTCTGCTGAACCGTTAGCGCCAACTCGATGCTTTATGTCCTCGTCACCGAACGGGAGCCTGAGGACCCGCAGCTTACCATCCGTCCCAGTCGCCTCTTTCGTCAGCTTCTTGAGGGCCTCCAAAACGGGTTCCAGTCGGCCGCGCCCGGTCTCGTCGTCACAGAATTTGCATATGCCGAGGTGATCTCCCGACAAGGGCTGGCTATCGGCCCCATCGAGATAAGTGTCGGGCTGGTACACGACCTAGGCGGATAGAAATACGGGTCAGCTGGAGATGGAGCGCGTTTGACAAGACGCCAAAGAGGGCCATCTCATTCGACTCACCACCTCTCCCAGCGCCTCTGTTTCATCTACCTCGTAGAAGTTGACGACGGAAACTTTGAAGCCTTTTCGAGCGTCTTGAAACCCGGCTGTAAGATCCGTAAGGGTGTTGCTATTTTTCTTGATATCTTGAATCATCTTGGGCGACGGTAGCGCTAGCCACAACTTATCTACTACCGTGCCCACGGAGCTTGGACTGCCGTACCGGGCAACCACAGCACGCAGAAGCCGGGTCGCAAACTTTCTCCCGCCTTCGGAGCCGCCCAGGTGGTGGGGCGTTGCAAAGAAGACCTGTGGGTGTCAGTCGAGCTGATTAGCCGTGGTTTCCCAACTGATTCCCCTCGCGACCAAGGCCGATGGGTGACGGTCGGTGCCCAGGCGGGGATACCTACAATGCCACAGGTTGCTCTTCCGAGATGCCTGTATCTTGGGTTGTCACGAGCAGAGACCAGGGCCTAGATTTCACGTGTCAATGCAAATAGCCGCCTCATCAGGGTCGTTGCAAGTTTACCTGTTTGATACTTTGTTACAGGTCAGCATGGGACTGTCCTCGGGTAGAGGGGACAAGTGGACACATACATTACGCCGCCCAAGCTGTGGCCGACAAAAATGATGGGTCTCTGTTTCCCGGGATCGCGGTGGCATTCATCAGTGCTGAGCTGATCGAGGAGATTCCAGGCGCGCTCCCGGATGCTGGCCTGATTCGCCGTGCCTCTGATGGAGCCGTTGTACTGGTAGCACAGGACGCGGACATGGAGCTGCTTCCCCAGCAGCAGCTTGCTGGGCCATATGGTGCCGTCTTCGGCGGTCCATGTCTCCATCCTTTTTTCGCTTGCCGGCCTCCGCGGCGGCGATTCGAGACCATGGACGAAAACGATGCTTCAAATGCGGCACCACCGTATACGACGGCGTTAGTCAGAGCTGTTTGTTCACGGTGAGGGTCTTCACGGGTGCGCTCACTCAGCAACTGGGGGCTTGCTTCCGGCGTTCCCCGGGACGGGGAAGAGCGTTTCCAGTTTCATTCTTGCGCAAGCTGTGAAGCATCATCTCCATCGGCCGGATACCCATTCCTCGATTTGGGGAGGGCTACTGACACTGAATGAAAGGTGATGGGAGCTGTGCAACTCTGTGCCAGCCAGCGTGCCTGCGGCTCCGAGGGAGGACAGCAAATAACCCAGTAAGGATATAGCGTGTGGGACCAGGCGCAAATGGAATTACACGACGAGGTAGCCTGCACCTAAGTACCTAAGCGGCTTAGGCTGTCATTTCAGCCGATCAGTCTTCTGCAGCCAAGCCGCTAGGATGGGCTGGGGTCGAGGCAGGCTGGGATGTGCCAGGCATCCAAGTTTTCCGGCGGCTGTGATGGGGAAATTCATTCAAGTCGGGATCAATCTCTTAGTTCTAAATCCAGTACTCGTGCTTGCGCTTTTTCGACCGATCCCGGTGTCCAGAATATACAACCCCCATTCACCCTTTGTCAAATCCGAGACCGCTCAGCGCCAGAGCTCCTACTTTGCGGCCATGCCCACGCGGTCGCGATCGAGATCGGAGTCCCGGGATGTGGCTGACCCTGATCATGAACAGCTCATCTCGGCGCCAGAAAATGGCAGGGCAAAACGGCCGACCTCGACTCGGAGCCGCGAATCTTACGAGACCCAAATCCTGGAGGCGTCAGACCTGTCGTCTCAAAGCGTGAACGCCACACCAAGAAGCGTGGCGTCCAGTTCTCACACAAGAGAGGGCAGACAAGGAGGCCCCGGCTTGGCAGCCAGGCCTCCGTCGACCCGGTCGCTCATCCGCAGAATCTCGTCCATGGTCCGCAAGAACAAGAAGGGGATCGAACGCCAGAAGGATGAGCTCCACACGGCCCAGCAAGAAGCAGAGCAAACCAAAAAGGAGAACGCCATGCTCAAGCAGCAGCTCGAGGACGCAAACAAGACGCTAGCGCGCCTCGAATCGAACCTTATCGAGCAGGGGTATGCCCTACAAGATGCTGTCGAGGAATGCCAGACTCTGCAAAGCCATCTCGAGAACAGCATTTACGTCCCCCTCCTTGGCGAGCCGGAAGGTTGCCCACGTCTGGCTTCCGAGGTCTATAAAAGCAAGAAGTACAAGCGCCGGACTTGGGGCTAGAGGCAAAACCCGCTCATGAGGCACATCACATATATGACAAGCAGGCTGGGCAACAACTGCCTAGTTCTCGTCCAATAAAACACTTTTATTCCGCCTGATAACAGCAAATGTTTTCCGGCCAATCAAAAACTCCTGCTCCATATCCCCGCATTCTGCAGCTAACTGACAAATATCAAACGCCTTACTCATCATCAAACGCGCCCATTTCCTCCAGGAGTGCGTTACTGTTGGCCAGGTCCTCCATGACCCCCACCAACTCCTCGTTGAGACTGTCTGCCTCGGCTTGCAGACTCGTCACCTCCTGCTCTAGCCTCTGTTTCTCCGCCTCCAGACTTGCAGCCGTCTCTGTCAATGCGCTCTTGTCGTCCGTCAGTTGCTTGTTCGTGGCCTCCAGCTCCGCAGACGTCTTTTCCAGTTCGCTCTTTTCCTCCGTCAGCTGCTTGTTCTCGCACTCCAGCTCTGTAGCTGTCGTTTCCAGCACGCTCTTCTCCTCCGTCAGCTTTTTGTTTTTGTCCTCCAGCTCTGCAGCTGCTGTTTCCAGCGTGCTCTTCTCCTCCTCCAGCTTGACCTTGTCTGCGCTCAAATCCTCCACCGATTTAGTCAGTGCGCTCTTTTCCTCCGTCAGCTGCTCATTCTGCTCGCCCAGATCTGCAGCCGCCTTTGTCAGTGTCGCCTTCTCCTCCTCCAACTTGACCTTGTCTGCGTTCAACTCATCCACCGACGCTGTCAGCTTGGCCTTGTCCGCGTTCAGCTCCTCCACCGACTCTTCCAGCTTCTTCTTGTCTGCGCCCAAGTCCTCAACCGACTTTTCCAGCTTCTCCTTTTCCGCACTCAGCTCCGCCACATCCCCCCGCAGTTTTTCCTTATCGGCCGCGGCGCTTTTGAGCTGCGCCTCTAGGAGTTCCCTCTCCTTCTCCAAGCCGCCGGCCTCGCCCCTAAGCTTTTCCAGCTCCGCCCCCACCTCATTATTTTTCTGCTGGAGGCTCCCAAACCTCTTCTTGATCGCCTCCCTTTTCTCGGTGACGAGCTGCTTGTTCCGGGCCGCGGCCCCGGCAAGGCCGCTGGCAAGCTTGCCCCCAGGGACGCCGGCCGTGCTGTGCTTGGCACGGGGGCTCGCGGGAGGAGTTTGGGGGTTGGCTGAAGACATGATGGGTGGCTGCCTGTTGTGTCTGATTGGCTGCTAGTGGGTGCTGCAGTAGGGAGGGTCGCTAAGGCAAGCTTCGGAGGGTGTTGTGGGGGGGAGGCTTGTTGGCGTCTGATATTGAGTGGACAGAAACCGCGCAGGCGCAGAAAATGTGGAGGATGTGCGTGTGTTTTATTGTTTGGCTCAAAGAGGTGACCTGTCATCTGTCAAGGGTGACCTGTCACTTGAAGAGCACCAACTGGCACGTCCACGACAACGGGCCGCTTTTATAGATATCTCTTGCCCGGGCCAAGCTCAGCCTTACCTCTCTACAAGGTAGATATTCACCTCTTTTGGTGCGGTCTTTGGCGCGCTCCTTTCCCATCCTTGCGGCTCTGTTTGACACCCAACAATACACCAGCTCGCTTGTCGCGCTCGGGCGGTCATGGGTCCTTGCAGACGCCGAGCGTGCAGCTGGACGCACGCTGCAGCATGGGCCGGCCAGTGGATAAGCAGCAGGCTGCATTTCGACAAATGCATCCCTGCCCGATAACTCGCATCTCAAACGGGCCCGTCATAGATAGACTCGCGCACGACCCGAGAGAGAGGCGAGCCGCCCACACGCCTAGGAGGAGGGGAGGGGGGCGGCAATCGGCCTGAGCCGCACCCGGAATCGGGCTCCATGGGGCTCAGTCCCAAGGGCTCCGTCTCCCGTGGGGTAGATTCTGCAACTCGGAATCGATCACTAGCGCACGACGATGCGGCCGAGGGCTTGACAGCGAACGCCGAGAAGTGCGAACGTGGCTCCATACACAAGACGAGCAGGACGCCCCGAGGCCGCCTTTCTTGCAGTCGCCTTGCAGTTCGTTAGGCCCCAACGAGGCAATTTCCCGCCATGATGAGGTCACAGGGTGGGGCTGCTGCGCTGCCTCTCGCATCGAGGGCGGCTCTGCGCAGTTCGCAAGTTTGCGGGTTTGTGAGCCAGGCCGCGGAGTTGCGCCAGACGACCCAGAAGGAAAGAAAGCCATAGAACTCGGATGGAATTTCGAAAACTGCGAGCGCGAGGTCACACGCACTCCCCCACCAGACAAGCACCGCTAGCGCTCCCACTCCACCACTCCCTGCTCGGTCCCTATATGGGCGACTATTCGCCGGTCCAGGCCGTGGCCGAGCCCCTTTGCGATACGCGCAATGTGCCAGCACGTCGTCCGGAAGCCCGGGTCGGCCGCGCTCTCGAAGCGGCAGAGGTTCAGGTGGTCCGCGGCCAGGGGCACCTGCTCCTCGTGCTCCAGGTTCATGCGCGCGCTCATCTTGTCCACGATCGGGCCCCTCGTCCCCGGCCACGCCTCGGTCTCGTAGAAGCTCACGATGGCGAACCGGCGCGCCATGAAGCGGAAGTCCTCGCAGATGTTGGAGATTTCGGGCGAGCTGCTCGTCAGGGAGTCGACGAGCTCGGACCGGCGGCCCCTCCAGCCGAGCCGCCGCTTCGACACGGGCGCGAACGCCTTGGCCATGGTCAGCCACCGGGACCGGTCGGCACCGAGGTGAGGCGTTCCATAGAGCAGCTATCGGCCAGACGCCGTGTGAACTTTTGTACATGCAGACAGACTTCAAATGTAGGGTCCGTACTCACAAAGCCGTGTGTTGCAGACAAAAGGTGCTGGTATCGGCTGTCGGTTTTGGCCGCATAGAGAGCCTGCCTCTCAAGTTAGCGGACTAGTCCAAAACGGCAATCTCCGGAGACGGTGCCTGCCTGACCTGCTTCAGGACGATTCCGCCCAGGCTGTGGGCCACAAAGATGATGGGCTTGCGAAAATCCCTGTCATCCCGCAGATCCCGTAGTCTAGCCAGCATTGCTTGGGCGTTGCCTCTGATGCCGGCCACGGACGTGTTTCCATAGACGTCGGCGTTGTATGCAAAGGACAAGACGCGAGCATTCGGCAGCTCACTGGGCAGCAAGTCCCTTGGCCAGCAAATCTTGGTTGCTTCATGCGTCCATGTCGTCAGGTAGTCACCGTTCAGGCCATGGACCAGGACCAGGCTAATGAAGCATACGGTTAGGCTATTCGTGCAATATTTCAGCCGAGTGATACGTACTCAAATGTCGCCGTCAGACCTTGCGAGTCGGGGTCGTGCAGTATCTCAATGACGAGGTCCCTTTTTGGTACCATGCTGCCGCCTGGCGAACTTGGCTAGGATGGCCCACAAGCTGGCCTAGCAGAGAAGTATTGGCTAGGGCTACGTGGTCAAGCAGGATCCAGGAAGGGGTTTGAGATGGAGAGGGATAAAAAAAAAAACTTTTCCGATAAGAGCCCGGCTTTCCAATGTTTTAGGCCCTTTATGAACCACATGACTGCGCTTCCCAGAAACGTCGTGCTGGCGGTTGCCTCGAAGTCTAGGCCAGATGGCACAGCCCTAGGCCAGCTGCCCCGTGGCTCGAATGCAATGCAGTCTGTCGGGTTGGGCAGCTACGCTACGAGACACACTCGCACCACCGGGTTGGCTGCCTTGCCATATTTACCTCTGATGCCACGATGCCAACAGACACTCAACCCAGCCCAACCCGACGCGAGATGGGATCATTAGGCACCTGTCAGTTAGGGGCTACCAAACAGGGGCTACCAAACAGGGACTGCCGAATAGACAGGCAGCAAGGGGTTACCAGAGATGTAGACAGCAACAAGAGACAACCCCTTAGCAGTAACTCATGCGGCTCAAGGCTCTCGGGAAATAAAACCTCGTTGGCGATCTACTGCTTCACGCAAGCATTTGGAGCCAGATCATCAACCCTTCCCAATGCACAGCCCGTTCTCTGCCCAAGATGAAAGCCACCCCGACCATCTACACTAACAATAATGTCGGGCTCTTTGAGCTTCCCCCGCCCTCTCCCGACTGGGAGAAGACGCATGGGACGCCCGAACTGGAGTAAGTTGCTCTCTCGCACGCCACCACCACAGAACGCGACGACGCTAACCCAGCCATGAAACTCCCCCAGCGTGGTCGCCGTCCACGGCCTCAACGGGGAGTGCTTCCGGACCTGGACGCACGAGGAGCCGACGGGGGAGAAGACGCTGTGGCTGAGCGACCTGCTGCCGCACAAGCTCCCGCGGACGCGCGTCATGACCTTTGGCTACAACGCCAGCGTGGTCGGCAACACCTCGGTGGCGGGCGTGCGCGACAACGCGCGCTACCTGCTCAACTCGCTGCGCGACAAGCGCGAGTACGACGGCACCCACGACCGCCCCATCGTCTTTGTGGGCCACAGCCTCGGCGGCATCGTCATCAAGCAGGCGCTCCGCATGGCGCGCAACGAGCCGCGGCTGGTGGCCGTCGCCGACAACACCAAGGGGATCGTGTTTTTCGGCACGCCGCACAGGGGCACCGACGCGGCGAGCTGGGGCGAGCTCGCGGCCAAGCTCAAGAGCGCCTCGTACGGCACGCGGCCGCGCTCGCCCTTCTTCAAGCTGCTGCGGTCCAACTCCAACGACCTGATGAACCTGTCGGAGGACTTCCGGCCCATCGCGCAAAACTACGCGCTGGTGAGCTTCGTCGAGCAAAACATCATCTCCAAGCTGGGCTTCAACCGCGTCGTGGTGGCCAAGCACTCGGCCGTCATGGAGATGCCGCACGAGGAGCAGGCCTTCATCAACGGCGACCACTCGACCATGTGCAAGTTCTCGCGCGACCCGGCCGACGCCGTCCGCTTCAACTCGGTGTGGCGCAGCATCGAGCGCGCGGCCAAGGGCACCGATGCGCGCCCGGCCCCGAGCCTGTACGACCTGTATCAGAAGTTTGCGCACGGCACGGCCAGTGGCGAAACCGCCACCCCCGCCAAGCCCGGCGCGGGGCGCATCGAGGGTTCGCACGCGGACCAGGCCAGGCCCGCGTGGTCTGCCGCGCCGGTGCCCGAGGGGGTGCGGGTGGGCGGCGGCGGCGGCAAGGTGCACGTCTATGTCGGTTGATGAAGGGCTCACGAAATCCGAGTCACGAGAGGGTGGCGCCCAGGTATTGGCAGGACCCGGCTATACGGATGCATGGCACTCCGTAAAGGGCGAAGGATTCAAATCTGTTGGTTGAGGCTCGTTTGGCTGCCTAGTGGTGTGGAACCACCTCAACACCCCTGTCAAAAGAGATGAGTGAGGCCAGCCATTTCAGCCCTTTAAAAAGCCGTCATCTCGCAAGCCTCTACCGTCATCACCACGCGCATCAGCAGCCCTCAACGACATCCTTCCGGTCAAAAGAATAAAAAAAAGAAAAGGAAAAAAAAAAGATCGAAAAATGCTCTTCTCCTCCGCCTCCCTCGCCGCCGCCACGGCACTCGCAGCCTTCGCCGCCCCGGCTGCCGGCTCGCCCAACGGCTGGTCCAAGACCAAAGAGGTGCCCGACGGGCCCACCAAGCTGTACGACTGCCCGTGCAAGCCCATCATCGACGCCATGGTGAAGTGCCAGACGCGCAAGGGGCCCAACGCCGGGATCCGCGACTGCGTCTGCATCCCCAACCCCGACGGCTGGTACGGCTACCTGAACACGTGCCGAGACTGCCTGTCCTACAACCCGGGCCCCAGCGGCAGCGGCAGCGGCAGCGACCCGTTCTTCAAGGAGCTGGCGGGCACCATCACGCAGCTCTTCGTGTCGTGCACCAACGTGGGGGGAGGGGTCAACAGCCCCGACGGCAAGAGCATCTGCGCCAGCAACGCCATGCTCGAGACGTGCGCGTCGCTCAAGACGGGCGGCAAGGAGGCCAGCTGGGCGAGCTCAAAGATCTTCAAGAGCGGCGTGTCGACCAACGGGACGTTCGTCGTCGACATCCCCGGGGACCCGGCCATGAGCGCGTCGGCCACCCCGTCGAGCGCTGCCAACACGACGGCGTTGAGCACCGGCGGCGGCGGCGGCGCCGCCACCACCGCCCCTGGAACACAGACGACTTCGACGACACCTACTCCGGGAGCGACGAAGCCGTCATCAGCCATGGGCTACGCCGGCTCTCGGTCGCAGGTTGGGGGCATCGTGGGGCTGGTGTTTGCGGTGGGAGTGGCCGTGTTGATTTAAGGTGCATTAGCGAGTGGCGCACGATTTGTGTTTTTTTTTTTTTTTTTAAAAAAAAGTGTAATTAAGCATTCCGCCATCCGTCAGGGGAACTACGCACGGGCCGTTGCGGCGCACACCGCTGATCGACAGTCAAAGCCCGCTTCTCCCCTGAATGGCTTCCTTCTTCTCGCTGAAAAATACAGCAATATCTCCGCCTCACAGGAATGACTACCGTGAACGGCACAGTATGCGTGGTGTGAAAGCCCCCACCAACGGAAAACAAAAAAACAGCACACTTTGAAAAATTTAGCCAATCATTGGCCACAAATGCCGGGAGTAGCCAATCAGAGTAGAGACATTTACCCCCACTTTGCTTGCCGGTCTTCCTAAAGTGTGCTGTTTTTTGTTTTCGGGCCCCCCAAAGCAGTGGGAACGGGGCGGTGGGCTGACTGACCTTTAGGGCCAATTTGGATTGTCCTCCTTTCCGGATGCGGCAAGTCGATGACGATGCGACGTCGGTCGCGAACCAGACGCGACTCTTTTGTCCCCCCGCCAGGTCATGCTTGCGTCGCGAAGCCATGTGACCTAGCACGTGTGTCCGCTGAGCTTAGTCATGTGTCCGCTGACATAATCCGCTACCCGCTACCCCCTGCCTGCGCGGGCAATTGCGTTCATGCTGCCTGCTGGGCCGCCTGGAGCCGAGCCGAGGTTGTTTTGTCTGACGCGTGCAGCGGTTTGTCGTGGGGGGTCGCTTTATCTGGGGAAAAAACGCCTCTCCACGTTCCTCCTCTCCTTTTCCCGACCAAGCAGATCTCTTGGATTACCCATCACGAGAAGCACCACGAGGAACCCATCACCACCTACGTCAACCACACTCACGCTTCCGTCACAAACATCCCTCTCTAATCCACCCAAACCGCCATCATGTCTAAATCATTCACCGTCGCCGACGTCGCCAAGTTCAACAACGAGAAGGATGGCATGTACATCATCATCGACGACGGCGTCTACGACATAACAAGTAGGCTCTCCCCCTTTTACGTATCTCCCTTTATGCACATATGCTTATTCCCAAAAACAGACTTCCTCGAGGAGCACCCCGGCGGCGTCAAGATCCTCAAGCGCATGGCCGGCAAGAACTCGACCAAACAGTTCTGGAAGTACCATGGCAAGCACGTGCTGGAAAAGTACGGCGAGAAGCTCAAGGTCGGCAAGGTCGCCGAGACAGCCAAACTGTGAGGTG